TTAACGCGGCTGATTGCCCGAGAATATTTTATTGAATTTGATTCCGAAACGTCGGTTTACTACGGTAACCAGTTAACGCTTCCGATTACTTATAGTATTGTGAATATAGGCATTCGTCCATGTGAGCATTCGTACGTGTGAGCATTTGTCAGTGTGAGCATTTATCAGTGTGTGCATTTGTCAGTGTGAGCATTTGTCCGTGTGAGCATTTGTCCGTGTGAGTAATTTTCGTGTGAGCATTCATGACAGTGAGCTTCTTTCTGTGCGCAATTTTCGTGTACGGTTTTGTCGTGTACGGTTTTGTCTGGTCACCTTGTGATGGCATGTGACATTACATTTGTTAATGTATTAGTAAATGTGAATGAAAAATACACAAATATGATAACAGAGTCAGGCCAACCCAAGTTGTTTATTTCAAATTTTCAACTTATTTTTCATCTATGCATTATATCTTAATATAGAATGAAGTGAATTAACTCTTACTTGTCCAGATTGTGCTCAGCCACTTTAATAGCATTCCTAATATTTGGGCTAACATTGAATTCCAATTTCTCTGGTTCTGGAAAAGCTGAAACATTTTCTCCAAGCTTGCTCTTTGGAATCTTCTCTCTAGAAGAATACAAAAGACACATATTAAATTTTACTAATAATTAAATAATTGTTAAATTAAAAGTGGACTACACTGCATATGTATGGAACATAAAAATGTATAGAGATGTGTGAACACCTAAATCTCAAAACCCAATTTCTAATTCTGCCTCAAATGTGGCTTTGAATTACAAACAAAATTCAAACTCCTCAAACATTATTCAATAAATTTAAGAAATATATATAATGTCATGTTTATCTCATTGACTCCTATGAATAAAGTCTGAAAACTTTTCTGTTGAGTGATATTTCAGTAACACTAATATTATTACTTTTGTGTTTGATGAAAAGTGTGTTCTGAAGTATCATTTTGTGTTTATAATTCATTAGGTAGTTCAAATAATAGGTTTAATGGCACCCTGTTTTGACTACTCAGGCTTTGATAACTGAGCTACAAAGACACAAATATAGCATTAGTAGACAAGGAAATGCAACTATCTGAGTTCAAGGGACCAAGTCTTGACAACATATCCATTTCATCTAATATTTGGGGTATAGGAAATACCACAAACTGTATTATGTTAGTTTTAATTTCAGTTTCGGTACTGAACTGATCTATATGATCTGTTAATGATCATGACTGAGAAGCACAAATGAGACAAGAAACTCAACACCCAATCATCTAATCCTCAATTAAGTATTGTTATTAGTAGATGTGACATTCTAGAATTCTCTATATCAATGCAACTTACAGGAAATCCAAGCAATAGTTCATAAGCATAGCAACTGGCACTGCCTCAGCAGGGCTATGCTCCACTACAATTCCAACTTCTCCTTCACGACCAACCACGATCTACAGCATAAAAATTTAATATATAAAAACATTACTGGAATAACTCAATACACAACTTCCCACATGCCAAAATAGAATAGGTCAAAACCTAATGATCAGAGAATATAATTTTGAAGTGTTCAAGGAATTCTCATATCTAGGGTCAAAAGTTAATTCTATTCAATTCAATTCATTTATTAAAGTGCTTGACAACAACCGAAAAGGCCAATAACAGCCAAGCACTAACAACAATACAAATCTTACAATACTAAGGCAAACAAACAATGAACTGAATATATAAAGTACAATATTAATTTATTGCAAAATAATTAATAAGTAAATGAGCTAAATGTTATGGATAAGTAAATTAAAAATTAAATTAAAATCAGTTCAATTTTGGACAAACAACATACAAAATAAAATATTATACTAAATAAATAATAACAATAACAATGATTATTTTTTAAAGAGCTGACTGACATCAGTAAGCAAAACAGGATTTTTGTTAAAGATGGTGATGCTCCTACAGACTGCATTGGCAGCAGAAACACATCTGGCAGAGGGAATAGCCTTGAAATTACGTTGTACAGTAAAGGTAGAGTAGTCTCTGATAGACCTAGTGGGTACGCAGAGACTAACTGTATCAAAAAAAGATGAGCAACTAATTTTGCCTTTAAAAACATTGATGAGGAAAAGCGCATCCAAAAGCCACCTCCTTAAATGCAACGATAAAAATTTTAATCCTACTAATATATCATCATAATTACAGGCACAAACACCATTAAAAAATGTAGTGTAACATAGAGATACAAATTTCCTTTGAATCCTTTCCAGTTTAAAGGAGTCAGTATTAGTAATAGAGTTCCAAACAATGGATGCATACTCAATTTTAGAATGGACTAAGGTACTGTACAAAACCAAAAGGCTATCAACAGTGAAGAAGGAAGAAATAATGTAATAACATCAATAATGGAATACATAACTGAATACTCCTTGCAAATATGATATGTTCCCAACTATGAACAAGTGACCAAATCACCATTTCACATAGAACATCAACCTACCTACCCCTTTGCAATTCACAAATTATCATTACTACATATGGGAACAGTGTCAAATACAGGAACAGTTCTTCTAATGTGTGGGAAATACATCCGTAACAGAAATAATGGAAAACTAATATCATTATCCTTGTAGTTTATAACAACCTCTGCCACAGACACAAATAATTTTAGACAAAAATGTTTTCTTACCTCAATTGTTTTGTCAAACCAGCGATTTCCAGAACTTCCTTTGTTACCTCCCCCATGTACTATTTTCAGTGCAGCCAAAGTAGCAACATTTGGTGCACTAAGGTGCGAAGCAGGTCCATCAAGACAAAGAAGAAACAGAGAAGTCTGAATAGCTTCTACACTCTTCCAGTTTGTTTCATCTGAAACCAGTACAAACTGTAAATTTTCTAAAAATCAATGTGGAATAATATCTGACTAGCAAAGTTGAAATATATGTAGCCTTGTAACTGTTTGGGTGCAATAGTACAGCGTACATACAAGAGACTGCACAGAACTCACAAAACAATGCTACTATATAGTGTAGTGTACAGGTAACTATGCAGTAAATAAAATATCTGAGGAATGACAGCTGCACAGTAGTCCCACTCTCCATTTTAAAGCAGCAAAGCAAAATAATAAACTTCTACAATACAAGCCTGGAAAGTGTATTGTCCCAGAATACATAATTTCCTCGTGTGTTCTTTGCAACACACATTTAGAAGTATTAAATCCATCTTGTCCCCCAAAATAAATTTGTCAAAAAATAAGAAAAATGTTAATGGTCACCTAAAGAGATATGGTTATCAATAAAACTCTTGAGAACTTTAATTTAAATCACCAAAACACATCTTAACACACACCTTTCACTAAGTCACTGTACACTTCTGCCCAGGTATCCCGGTGCTCACTAGTCAGAATTCCAACAGGTTCCACTGGTGTTTGAGAAGCTGCCACCACTGCTTCCAATTGCCCAAGCAGCTTAACAGGGCTTAGAATATTACCATTGTTCTCATAAACATTAATCTTGAAAAACTGTGAACATGGACAAGAATGGTTTCAATAATCACAATTTAAGTGCCTAAGCATTTCTTAGATCCAATACCAAGCAAACTGTAATCTAAGATACCAGTAATTTTAAACAATATTTGTTAATGCCAAGCAGGTTGCATTTCTTACATAAAAGTGCAGTTTGTTTAAACAAAAATATTTTCATTTCATTATGTATTAGTATTGTATCTGCTTAAATGTATGCACCACACATACTAACATTTTAAAATAAGTCATGAATATATTTTATTCATCTCCAAGCCTTTATTTTTTAACAGTTTCACCAGGATTTGGAAGTGGCATTATCAATCATAGATATTAATATCAGCATCCCAAAATCTAGATGGCTTACTATGCATTCCTTGCACGACACACACACACACACACAAACAAAAATACAAAAATAAAAGGTACAAAGACACTCATTACTAAGCCACCAATAAACAGAAGAGAAACAACATGCCAAATCCGATAAACAATAAGCAATATGATGAAAAAGGAATTTTTATTCATCATAATGCTTAATCCACATTTCAATAAAATATCAATTTATATAAATAGTCATAATCTTAATGTGGACATAAACACAGAATTTATTCAAAAATACACTGAAATTAAATGTTTTTTAACACTGACATTGTGGATACTACAAGATTTCTATACAGAAAGACCTCTCAAAATAAGACAGAAAGAGAAGCCTAGTTTTTCTCAGTGTGTAAGTTTTAAACTGAGTTATATTTTCATTCAGTCTTTACATCAAAACATTTATGGAAAACCGTACACTGAAAAAAAAACATATTTACAAAGACACTTTTGTAATTCAAATCTTACATGATTGTTGTGTGCAACTACAATATGCCGCACTGGGCACGATGGATCACTGAAATGCATTTTATCACAGTTTGGGGCTGGAATTCGGCATGTGCCATATACCCTCTTGTACTGAGTCATGTCCAGTGGTTCCTTACCCATCTTCTCAATAGGTATTTTATCACTGCAACATATTGAACAACATGGGTATGTTAGAGACAATATTTGAAATGAAACAATGTCATAAAAAATTAAAATTACTTTTATGCAGAACATACTAAGTGACTATTATGACATACAGAGCACAAATGTGAACATGGGCTAACAGAAAAGAAGGCAAAGTACAGAAAGCAAAAGAAAAGAACATACATAACAATATCAAATTCTAGAGGCAGAAACACTACAATACATTTTGACAGTAAAGCTACAGTGGTATGGGCATGTGCTATGCAGACACACTATAGTCTTCAACATCCATCAGATTAGAATATTCACTGGATCATACAATATGAGAACAAAAGATATTTCATAATTTATGTATGTTTCAAAAGTTATACACTTACAAGCAAATGATTATAAATGACCAAAATCAAACTCCACATTCCACAATGACAATACATATGCATTACTGCAAAATGTGATGAGAGCTTGTATTCTGGTCACTAATTACTAATCAAAATGTGAACATGAAGGGCAACAACATCAAACTGAATTTATGTGGAAGAAGAAAGAAGAACCATTAACTAGTACATCAACATTTTATGAACAGACATGAGAAAAAAAATCAATATAAAAGTAAAATAACATTACTTATCAATGTCTGATTTGTAGTTAAGGGCTGCAAAAGTGAGTTTAGCAGCATATGTAAGAAACTCTTCTTGTGTTTGGAATAACTGACGTGGAAATACAAGTGCAGGGTTTGAATGAACCACTACAGGTAGGCGGTATGACAAGTATGCTGCAGTAAGCCACCAGTCAGCTATCTGAAATGCAAACATAACTTTATATTGAAGGAATATAAGCCATAAACAGCTAACACTCAGGTTCCAGCCACACTGTGTGCTCTATGGTGATAATGCTTTCACCACAGTTTATTGAGATTTGAGTATTCATATTCTGGATGTCAAAATTATACTGAGACATTCAACACACAGAAAGCAATACCTCATTTATAGTCTCTAAGGGGAGAATACAGCAAGATCCATCACCTGGAAGGATACAATGTGCCACCTCACATGCAGTATTAGATGGATAAACAGCTCTGGTGTGGAAAACCAAATTACTTTAAAAAAATCTGTTCTACAACAAATCCTGCATACACTGCCTGGGAAGAGAACCAGGCCACTACAATAAGAAGCCTGAAATACTATAATAATAAGGCCATTCAACTATTAGCAAATTGATAAACCATTTCATGTGACTCATAATCCACCAGGTAGACAATAGTCAACTAGATGGTTTATTCCTCATTAATATTCAACACATTCAATCTTCAGACTATACTTGTGTTATGCTGATAGACCATGTATATGAGATTAATGTATAATCACCCATACTGACTACACACAAAACACTAGGGTAATAAGAATCAAGATTATTAAAAGATTATAAGATAAAAGGACTTACAACAGAAAAAACACACATTAAAAGAGACCATTAAATATTTCTTTTGGCCTGATCACTTTAAATCGTACAAAATATTACGCTACTTATTCAAAATGATATTCAAATAAGCATACCATGAATTCCCATTATTTTCTTTCATACAGACAGATAAAAGAAACTATACATGACTAACTCCATGCAGCAAAGTTCTTATGAAACTCATGAAGAATATGTCCAAGTCCCAAAAAATCACTAAGCAGGAGGACTACCCATTGTTTGCTATCCAAGACTACTTATTCAATATATTCACAGCTACCCTCTTTATCTGGAGGCCATCTCTTCCATCTGAAACCTGAAGGTATGCCTTGAAAATGAATGTAATATCTGAATCAGCCACTTCAAATATTCAATGGTATAAACAAAATAAAAATCATGAAAAAGTGTACAGTATTGCAACAGAAATTTTGGCAATGAAATAAATAATATATAATATTACCATCAAAAGAAAATACCTATTCCATGACCTGAAAGGCATAATTTTAGCAAGGGCATTGAAAAGTACTTTGTAACTACTATGGCCTTGCTATACATTTATTTAGATATTATACTTTAATCCAGCATAGTTATTAGAGTAATAAATCAATTACACAATGTCATACCCAGCTGTCCATACTCTTGGCTCTGTTTTCTAAAATTTTTTGAAGCTTCTGTCCATCTCCTTCGCTAAAATCTTTCACAAGGCGTTCTGTAGTAGAGAGCTCTGATGATGATAAAAGTGGTTTCACAGACCTAATTCAACAGCAAAAACATGTATGTGTTAGTCACAATACAAGCTGAGGAAGAAAAACAATTTATAAACACAATGAATATTTGCAATTCATATCAAAGCAAATGACACTACACTGACAAAACATAAAAGAAAACCCAACACACTTTCTCCATGCCTGGTAATCACCCCCTTCTTATAACTGTACACAAACATTTCCCACAATTACTGCATATCCTTTGTTTTTCCATATACTTTGACTTTTGAGCAAGAAGTTCAACACCAGTGCATAACTAGATCTTCATTATTTAATGTGTGTGAAAAACCCTAAAGAGTATAATGATCAAGTTATAGTTAAATTTTCTTTTCCCAATTTTATTGCTATGTTATGCATGACAAACACTATTATTACCACTACCAAGACTGCCACAGACTTCTTGCTGCTGGCAAGGTTTCTAATTACAGAAATTAAATGAATTATTATTGTTATCATCATTTTCTTTGTATTTTATTAGTGTTTTACATTTATACTAGTGTTTACCTAGGTAGATTATTTCCTTTTTAGCAAATTTCTATCTTTGTATTAGTGTTTGCCTGTCATAGGCTCTTTGCTGTTGGCAAACACTTAACAAAGTAATTTAACTATTATTATTATTATTATTTAGCATTATTTATTTTATTTAGAATTATTAAATTTAATTATATTACTTAGGTATTGTATTTAGCCCATTTATTTGTGAAATATGATTCAATAAATGAATCTAATTATTATTATTATTAATATGGTACATTTATATATTTAGTTTCATTTGTTTGTTTTACTTTTATTATTGAAATAAATTAATTACTTATTATATTTTATCCTATACTCTGGTTTAGTGCTTGGCTGTTATTGGCCTTTTTGGCTGTAGTCAAACACTTAAATAAATGAATTGAATTGAATTGAATCATAAAAGCTGAATTAAAACTTTCAACCATATGTGGGACATAACTAAGACTTGCATCTTACACACAAATCATGAATTAGCAAGGTACAATTGTTATTTAAGGTTTATGCAGAAAATCTGTAGCAAACATGTTAATGTTTTTCATACTATTATATCAAATTTTGTACTGATGTATCAGAGGTATGGAGGCAGCTGTTTTAAATTAAGATACCTTACACACAACTATACTATATTATGGTATAGGGCATAATCACTAATAACCTGACATTTAACCACCTCCAAGCACTATAAATGCTATGAACAAACTGTTAAAATGCAGCTACCATTTCTTTTCAGATGTCTTATGTTGGTGTACATGCTATTCATGACTAAACCCAGATTAACATGGAAGGCATTATTACAGAGTATAAGATGATCTTAAAGAAGTAATGTCTCCTTGTACAAAAAGGTGTTTGCTTCCAGTTAAAGTATATAATTATAGAATACAACCTGACAAATTTGGCCAATGTATCCTTAAGAGGTGGAACTGGGTGACGAGGGAGATCATGCTGAGTTGACGCAGGTCTCAATGCCATCTGTGGATAACATGCAGATACCCGGAGAAGGGACAAACCATTCTTCTGATGATTCACCATTTCAGAAAAAATGTGACGAAACTGCAATTGAAAATCCTTTATAACATACAAATTCAATCTCTAAATCTGTATAAACTTGAAACAATGACATATAAACAGCAAGATTCCCAGTTTCACTGGCTCTCAAGTCCTTCTAAGATTAGACAAGTACTATGCCTTGAATGTCTCTAATATTTAAGATTCTTAGTCTACTGTCTACATCTGTTTGAATTTGTGACTCATATTTTTTAAACCAGAAAATGGTACTCTACAATACTCAAGTAATACACAATCAGAAAATACACAGATCGAATGCAGTTCTGTAATTTGGCTAAGATTCTTCATAATTTTCAACAGCCTGACAAGCAAAATGTAAGAGAAATATCCATGTTTTAAAACATGTAATAATATCTACTGTAAATCCTTTTCAAGTCATCACACACTCACTTTGCACTCTTAATGGAAAAACACACCAGGGGTATACAGAACAAAATTCTGAGAATATTTGGACCTAAGAGGAAAAAACTAATAACAAGAACTTCATAATTCACCAAATACTGTTTGAATAATTAAATAAAGGAGGATGAGACATGCAAAATATGCAGTATGCATGGGAGAAATGAGAAATGCACACACTGTTATAATCAGAAAATCTGAAGGGAAGAGATCACTTGGGATATATTTATATACAATATTCAAATGAATCTTAAGGAAATGGGCTGTGAAAGTGTGGACTGCATTTATTTGTGGATGATAGGGTCCACTGGCAGGCTTTTGTAAAGACAATAATACACCTTTTGATTTCATAACAGGCAGGAAATTTCTTGATCATCACCTGAGTAACTATTATCACCTCAACAATTAGTTATTCTTACGTATCCTCCATAAGTACAGGCCACACTGACAACTTGTAAATCTCATGGACATGAAAGCTTATAACATGGTAATCAGTATGGAAAGTAATATGTTTTGATTTCAATAGAAGAAATAAGATATGCAGTGTTACTTAAATTGTATATGATTTTCCAGTATGCTATTCACAAGTCAGTATTTTATGCCTACTATGAAATCAAAGCAAATATACAGTTACTCACCACGGAGTGTCCTGCAGTTCCTGGTATTCTCAACATCTCAACAGTTGTTTCCTCTCTTTTGCCTGTAATTACGAACATTTATCAAGACTTCTGCAGTGTGATTTCTTACACGATAAACAAGTGAACCTGGACTTAACACTTATAACCACCCTGGCCAGAAAAGTTTTTAATCAAATACAAAGAATGCTAGGACAATCATACATCATCTTAGTGCCTAAAATGGCCAAGACACATATATAACACACGGGAACACGTATGTTTCTGTTATGCAGGACTTATTCTTGGTTTTTTTAATGGCAGTTTCTTGTAGGGAATTATTTAAGAAGTTTAATATTCTTCCACTACCCAAAGAATTCTTATCTGACGTAAATACGTCTCTGTAATGTAATGAAATGTATATAATGTAATAATTCTTAAGTACTTACTTTAGAGTACTTACTTGTGATATTCTAAAACGTTTTTACCAGCACAAAATTATCTAGTCTACGACGCACTTCACAAGCGATTCACAGCTCAGCTCTTTAAGCAATAATGAAATTAATGTAACACAACAATGTAAACATCCATGTTAATGTTTTTCATACTATTATATCAAATTTTGTACTGATGTATCAGAGGTATGGAGGCAGCTGTTTTAAATTAAGATACCTTACACACAACTATACTATATTATGGTATAGGGCATAATCACTAATAACCTGACATTTAACCACCTCCAAGCACTATAAATGCTATGAACAAACTGTTAAAATGCAGCTACCATTTCTTTTCAGATGTCTTATGTTGGTGTACATGCTATTCATGACTAAACCCAGATTAACATGGAAGGCATTATTACAGAGTATAAGATGATCTTAAAGAAGTAATGTCTCCTTGTACAAAAAGGTGTTTGCTTCCAGTTAAAGTATATAATTATAGAATACAACCTGACAAATTTGGCCAATGTATCCTTAAGAGGTGGAACTGGGTGACGAGGGAGATCATGCTGAGTTGACGCAGGTCTCAATGCCATCTGTGGATAACATGCAGATACCCGGAGAAGGGACAAACCATTCTTCTGATGATTCACCATTTCAGAAAAAATGTGACGAAACTGCAATTGAAAATCCTTTATAACATACAAATTCAATCTCTAAATCTGTATAAACTTGAAACAATGACATATAAACAGCAAGATTCCCAGTTTCACTGGCTCTCAAGTCCTTCTAAGATTAGACAAGTACTATGCCTTGAATGTCTCTAATATTTAAGATTCTTAGTCTACTGTCTACATCTGTTTGAATTTGTGACTCATATTTTTTAAACCAGAAAATGGTACTCTACAATACTCAAGTAATACACAATCAGAAAATACACAGATCGAATGCAGTTCTGTAATTTGGCTAAGATTCTTCATAATTTTCAACAGCCTGACAAGCAAAATGTAAGAGAAATATCCATGTTTTAAAACATGTAATAATATCTACTGTAAATCCTTTTCAAGTCATCACACACTCACTTTGCACTCTTAATGGAAAAACACACCAGGGGTATACAGAACAAAATTCTGAGAATATTTGGACCTAAGAGGAAAAAACTAATAACAAGAACTTCATAATTCACCAAATACTGTTTGAATAATTAAATAAAGGAGGATGAGACATGCAAAATATGCAGTATGCATGGGAGAAATGAGAAATGCACACACTGTTATAATCAGAAAATCTGAAGGGAAGAGATCACTTGGGATATATTTATATACAATATTCAAATGAATCTTAAGGAAATGGGCTGTGAAAGTGTGGACTGCATTTATTTGTGGATGATAGGGTCCACTGGCAGGCTTTTGTAAAGACAATAATACACCTTTTGATTTCATAACAGGCAGGAAATTTCTTGATCATCACCTGAGTAACTATTATCACCTCAACAATTAGTTATTCTTACGTATCCTCCATAAGTACAGGCCACACTGACAACTTGTAAATCTCATGGACATGAAAGCTTATAACATGGTAATCAGTATGGAAAGTAATATGTTTTGATTTCAATAGAAGAAATAAGATATGCAGTGTTACTTAAATTGTATATGATTTTCCAGTATGCTATTCACAAGTCAGTATTTTATGCCTACTATGAAATCAAAGCAAATATACAGTTACTCACCACGGAGTGTCCTGCAGTTCCTGGTATTCTCAACATCTCAACAGTTGTTTCCTCTCTTTTGCCTGTAATTACGAACATTTATCAAGACTTCTGCAGTGTGATTTCTTACACGATAAACAAGTGAACCTGGACTTAACACTTATAACCACCCTGGCCAGAAAAGTTTTTAATCAAATACAAAGAATGCTAGGACAATCATACATCATCTTAGTGCCTAAAATGGCCAAGACACATATATAACACACGGGAACACGTATGTTTCTGTTATGCAGGACTTATTCTTGGTTTTTTTAATGGCAGTTTCTTGTAGGGAATTATTTAAGAAGTTTAATATTCTTCCACTACCCAAAGAATTCTTATTCTCACTATTATCATTTGTAGTGGATAACACGGAAAATTTCAAACAAATATAGATATCCACAATATAAGAACAAGACACAGATACAACCTTCATGTGCTGATTTCTAACCTCAGTAAATATCAAAAAGGAGTCTACTATACTGGAATTAAGTTATTCAATAATCTTCAACCTATTATAAAAAGTCACGATATAAAAGTTCACAGTGGAACCACGGTTCCGGAGAATCTGACGTACATACGTCTCTGTAATGTAATGTAATGTAATGTAATGTAATATAATGTAATGAAATGGAATGTAATAATTCTTAAGTACTTACTTTAGAGTACTTACTTGTGATATTCTAAAACGTTTTTACCAGCACAAAATTATCTAGTCTACGACGCACTTCACAAGCGATTCACAGCTCAGCTCTTTAAGCAATAATGAAATTAATGTAACACAACAATGTAAACATCTGACGCAACAATTAGTTTCTTAGGTAACATAACAATGCACGCAGGAGTTCATATAAAAGCTGACCATTGTTGTCTGTCCATATTTACAGATTATTGATATGGATCTTACACAACTTCGTTACTGAAATTCATTACCCTTTTTGCCGAATGACCCTTCCGTATAGACGTATTTACGTCAAAAAGAGAGGAAAACTCAAAATTAACTTAGAAGTGTGGCACTCCAGTGGCAAATTTTGCACCTTTAAGAAATAGCTCCATGTATTATACACCTTCCTATTTACACAAACAGATAGAAAAAAGCACACACACTATGACGGTATACAAATATCAAGATTAAAGTAATATTTTAATAAAGTGATCATTTCAATAGTTGGTATGCTACATTAACTAAACGTCACCATTTGAATAACCCTCCAGTTTATATCATTTTAAATGGGAGATCAATTCAGGTTCCAAATATGCGTTTTACTTTCAGCAATTCATTCAACGCTGTTGTCCTCTTCAGATCGCCAAACGCAGTTATGTAATTACTACCTTACCTTGTATACAGAAAAACTCTATTTACATATTTCTAAATATACCTTTCAAATTACACCACTTCTCTAACCCTCCTTTAGGACGATACCATCCGCCGTCGGAAAGAAAAAGGCTACAATTGCCAGGTTCTCTATGCTATTGCCATCGCCTACGTTAAACCTCAGCCTCCTTGGCCACAGTCCTTGTCATACACAAACACATACATAAGGTTACTTCCATCTCAATCTAAATTAAATTCACATAGTATATATAGCACATGCGCGAGAAAAGCATAAATAACTTTAGTCGAAAAATAGAGACCACTTGGAGGACACAGGCATAAATTGTAAGATAATATTAAAACGGTTAATGAACAATGTGAATACGATAATGACCTTTCGGTTTCTATACAAGCCATTCACTGTCTTGACTAGCTGGTTTTTATAGTGTGTCATTTAGTTCGAACGTAAGGCAGAAATTTGGCATCTAGATGAACTGTTGTATAATTCTTTGTGATCATCCATTCCAAAAAGCATTTGATGCAGTGGAAACCATACACTGCGAGTCTCAAGATTAAATATATGTCTGGGTGCAAACATATTGTGTGAGGACTGTAGTCCTCATTTATCACGGATTGATAGGAATATGTGACCCGTGGTTAGACGAACCACGGAACCTATGGAATTTGTTGACAAATAGCATCATGGTTTAGAATATACTATACTCTGACAGCAGAGGGACAAAAATTATAATTTTAACATCTGTGATAATTATAAACTTTGGTGTTTGGCAGTGGCATAAGTTATAAGGCAGTTATTGAGATAGGTATTGTTATTTTTTATGTTAAATACTTAACTTAGCAGGATGGTAAATTTAGGAGATGAATTCCCAAATTTCAAAGCAAACACGACAACTGGGCCTATTCAATTTCATGACTGGGTGGGAGAATCGTAAGTATTGCAACCTTACATTAATTTGGAATATATTTTTATAGGATACTCGTTTATAAGGTATTTACTTTGCTAAATATTTCAAACATTTGTTATTATATCAGGTGGGCGATATTGTTTTCGCATCCATCCGATTTTACTCCGGTGTGCACAACAGAACTTGGACGAGTTGCAAATTTAACTCCAGAATTTGAGAAACGTGGAGTAAAAATTATTGCATTATCCTGCGATACTGTTGATTCTCATAAGAAATGGATACAGGTAAGAGGAGGATGCAAAGAAATTGTATGAATTGTTACTAAATGCTGAGGGGGATGGGAGTTAGTGTTTACTTTTCCAGCGTATTGCCAAAGTAACTCATAAGTAATGAGTTTCACTAACAGGGTGTTGTGGGTTGTCCAAAAGTACAAAGAAAGGGGTAGTGGTAGTCTGTTAATGCCAGTGAAGAAACAGTGTAAGGGAAGACTAGAGGCATGTGGTGTTTGCGATACTCTGAATGTTTGTTCTTGTACAAATTTGGTCACATGTATTAGTTATGAAAATGTCATAGTAAATGTCAGGGCTGTAGAATCGGTTCTAAAACCTCTGACTCTGTCACCTTCATAAAAACTCAATATGTATTAATAATGGTAAATGGCATCTTAAGAGATTTCATCACCACCACGTGGATTATCAGGCTACTTTTTAGACTTATAACCTATATTTAAATATAAGTCTAATGGTTATTGCAGAAATCGGTTGATTTGTACAGTTTATATTCTTTAGGTACCAGAGCCAAAGTTACCAAGCATTATTCCCAAACGATGTGGCTCAACGCGTCGTTGAATCTCCCTAAGCGTGAGGCCGCTGCCGGCTCACACTGTAGCTAAAGTGTTCTAAAGTTTTTATGTCGGAGTCGGTACATTTTTACTAACTCTTACTCCACCTAAAATTGCTTCTGACTCCACAGCCCTGGTAAATGTAACAATTGCTAATGATTTATGGTTGACAATCTTCGTAATTTACAGGTTCTATTGCCATTTGATGTGAGTCATAACTGCTGTCATTATCATTTTCTAATATATTTTGCTTTCATATTGCAGTATTTAGTAATTTTAATATTCTTGTGATCATAAAGTGTATGGTTGTCACTTGTGACCTTATTTTAAACACTGACTATAGTTATTGTTTTAGAGTTCAGCTACAGTTTAAAATCTTGTTTTGAAGTGTGAGAAAATGCTTGCAAACACCCGCATTCCAGGATTATAGAACAGTTCTGATAAAGGAGTGATTATAGGATATCAAGAGCTATGCAAAACATTTTGGTGATGGATTTCCATATCCAATAATTGCTGATGAGAACAGAGATCTTGCAGTGCAGTTGGGTATGCTGGATCCCCTTGAGAAAGACAAAGATGGCCTTCCACTGACATGTCGAGCAGTGTTTGTAATTGGTCCAGACAAGAAATTGCGTCTGTCAATGCTGTATCCAGCCACTACTGGACGAAATTTTGAGTATGTATTACCATATAATGTTATAACACCCATATTATTAAGTAAAATGTCACACTGTATTTCATAATTTTATATACATACAGATAACAGAGGATGCCAGGGATATCTGATAAAAAGCTAAAGTTAATGATTTTAATACTTGTAAACTTGACACATGAAAAACTTAACATTTTATGATTATTGAAGTTTCATACTATGGATATCAGCTGCAAACAAAACTTTAATACCTGGCTTTGAATGGTTCTAATATCACTTCAACTTATAATTTTACATGACTGATATATTGATACTGTTGATGAATAGTTATAAAAAAGTCACTTTGGGGATATGTTTGTATCAAGGGATAGATGGACAGACACAGATCACTTATCATTTACAGATGCCACAATAAATGTAATATATATGGATAATTAGAACTCCTTGGAAAAATTGAGAACTCTTGTAAAATTTGTCTTTATGTTTTTTTCCCCTTTACTTTTTACTTTTTATAGTGAGATACTTCGAACTGTAGACTCACTTCAGCTTACAGAAAAGAAAAAGGTAGCAACCCCAGCTGATTGGAAGGTAAGCATTTTTAACATAAATCATATTTCTTAATTGACACTGGCAGTTGCAGATGTTAGAAGTGTGGTTAGTCTGATCTGTGGTACCAGATTAGTAATTACTTTTTTACCCATTGGTTGCCATCCTTTATTAACCCCAAGATACTGATGATGCTATGCAAAGTGATTCCAGAAGACTGTGAAATGTGGAACTGAAATAAGTGCTAGTGAAACATGTTACAAACACTGTTTAGAGTTCACCTGTGACTTGAAATGCACATTTGAACATTATGTATTATTGAAGTTGTTACATCGTCTTGAATGTCATCTGCAGCGTCCAATTAAGAACTGCTGCTGCATTTGGTTCTAAACTGTAGTTAATGTGTGCTTTGTTTTAGGCTGGTGGTGAATGCATGGTGCTTCCTACACTGAAAGATGAAGAAGCTAATGATCTTTTCCCCAAAGGCTTCTCAGTCATTAATCTCCCATCAGGCAAACCATATCTTCGCATTACTCCAGAGCCTTGAATATTCCAAGTGCCTGGTTGTGGGAAGCTGATGGTGCTGCTACCACACACACATTAAGTTTTGTGTGTGTGTGTGTAAGAGAAATGCTCTTAAGCAACATGAACATTGTGTACTTAGATTAAGTACTTGGCCAATTTTTTGAAATCAGTATTGTTTAAATTAATTCCTAATGTTAACCTGAAAAGTGGTTTTAATGTGTCTTTAATACTGTGGGAACCTGTGAAACAAAATCTACATAAAATGTTCATTACTTGTGCTGCCAGTTGTTGCATTCCTGTTCAATATTTTTTTATAATATAAAACTATTGGAAATGTTACTTCATTCTCTGGAGAGAATTTATAGTTTTATACTTACCTTGCTCTGGAAAGATTAATTATAATATTGAAAATCTGAGAAACAATTAAATTGTATGTTTTGTATATTATTTGTTTTATTTGTGGCAGATTGAGCTGTAAATGCCATAGATGTAACGTTTTTTAGTGATGCAAACAGCCTGTGTTCTCCTAGTCACACATGTGGAACAGTGCTGATTTGTCTCCACTAGTGTTAGGAGGCATTTTGAATTAGGATTAGAATTGTCATATATGTGATGTAGTATTGCGTTCTAAAGCAAAAGAAATTGTAATGTCGATTATAAACTAAATATTGGTGTTTTAACACTGCAGTTTCTTGTTCATCTACGGTATCATGTAATATGTGAATTGTTTAATTTTTCTACCCATTAAAATATGTTATGCCTCCTTTTCATGTTTTCTTGATGTGTGCCCTGTCCTTTGGAATTTAGACCCTTTTATCTTCAGTCCATAAGTATTCCTAGATTATCTCTGGTGCAACATTGATTTCCCTGTCCTTTAATACATTGTTTGCTGATTGCTGATACATGATATTCCTATGTTCTCAGCAGTGCATATACATTGTTATCTACATAATTATGTGATAATGAATATTACAGAATGCTACAAAGAAACAAGACTGATGTTCTCTGTGAAAAATGTCACGATATTAAGATCAAGGTTTTGAGGCTGGAATCATATTTAAGATTTTTTCAACTGTTTTTCTTTTTTATGTACACATTTTGGAATGGACTAAATAATAAATAATTCCCAAACATCTAATGTTAACACAGCCATATTACCCTAATTCAGGTATTTTTATTATTACAATTAGAAGTTTCCCAAAATAGACTTGATATGCACTGGATGAACCTGTCTCAGAATTTGGTGGTGAACTCTTGTGAACATGGTAATAAATAGTCCATAAAAAACAGGGATTTTATGGACTAGTTAAGCAACTATGAACTTTTCCAGAAGGATTGCTTCATGGAATTGGATTATGTCACCTGTGCAGCCAGATATTTAATCATCAGTACATATGAGGTTTTTCTGCTTTATCAAGATAATTTCTTGAGCAACCGAGCGACTATCAGTTTCTCAAGAGTGATTGTGCTCAGTGAAGTTAGTTGTGGTTAAATGGAAATTACGTAAGATTTTACACAAAAGTGTTAATTTCAAGTGGAAATAAAAATAAACTAACCACGTTTAACACAAGACAGGATTTTCAGTTAAAATAATAGGCCCGGTTGCCCAGATTTCACATTTTTTTAATTGTTAATAGTTTGCTTATTTTATATACTAATACATTACATGGTCTGCAAAGTTTTAAGATTGTGATACCTCTGTAATAATTATTTTATTGCATCTTATTGCCAGTCATAGTATTGGAGCGGTGGTTCATCTGGGTAGTGTCTGGAACTTCATTACCGAGCCTCTTGATGTAATATTGTGTTACCTAAATGCCTCAACCAGCGAAGGCTACCTGCAGCATTCTTGAGCAGTGAGGTGGAGGTTAAGTAGCAAATCCATCAACATAAGAGTGGGAATCTGTGCTTCAGTTTCGAGTACAAATGTATATCTTCTCTTTAAAATTCTGCCTTGATGTTCATTTACTGCAGATACAACTCTGCATCTAAATCACTGCACATGAAGATGGAAGTACCTATCACAGTTGCGGTGGGTTAATGATCTTCAGGGTTCCATAAAATCCCCCCATCTTTATGGAACGGAACCAGGAAGTTCATGAGAGACTGCCGTCGGTCCTTATCCTGAAACATAGGAATCCATTCACACCATCTGATCTTATTTCCATAATATCTATTTTAATATGTTCCTGGCATCTACTACCAGGTCTTTCGAGTGGTGTCTTCCCTTCAGGCTTTCCAACTAGAATTCTCTACGCTTTTCTCATCTCTCCCAATTTTGCTATATCCATGACTGATTATCTTAATATTTTGTAAAAATTACACGGAGCATCTCATTTTTCATGCATACGTTAATTATGATTAAATTATATTCGGCATTGATTAAGTTTGTTAAGTTGATCTTTTGTAAAATCGAAAAAAGATAACCCGTAATTCTCTGGTTTATAAGACGTCTCTCACGAAATGAATTTTTTTGCACACCCATAAAAGCTTCAGTTAACGGAAGACTTCAAGGCAATGAAAATGCGATAATTATTGAATTGTGTATAATGTTTTCGGGTTCCGCAGTCCTAGAAATACCGATTTTTGTGTGTGCCTTTGAGGAAACTGAAAACTCTACGTAATTTAAAACGGCGCTGCATCAGTTACTGTGGCACAAAATGACGGATCTCAGATTGGTCAATACTGTGTTAAAATCCTTCTTATTTTGAGGGGAAGGAGATATTTCCTTTTCAATTTCTTATATTATACTAATCTCACAAACGTTTAATGACAATCTTAAAAAGTTTAACTTACAATAGATCTCGAGACGTATTGAAGAATCTCTTGTTCTTTCTAAAACGTCTTCTGAAACATGGAAATGAGATGAAACAAACATCACGCCAAGACAATAGGCCACCCATTTAACGTGTCAGTTATGTAGGTAACATATCATAACATAACAACAACCCAGAAGACAGAAATCTTCATACTCACCGCTGTGAAAACCTCAAATCATACATAACATACCATGTTAAATTCTGTAACGGATGTGATGTAATAAAGGAAGTTGAGACAAAACAAACCAAGACATTATAAAATAAATGTTTCATTTTTGAAGTTACTCAACTTTTATATTTAGAATTCACTTTTTAATTATAATACATATAACGGAATTAATATGTCTGGTATATTCATTGTAAATGTTTCTTGCTTGATCAGGAAGTTCTACTTGTATGACAATCTTCGGCCATATTTTGTCAGGACAAATTATTTCACAGTTAAAAGTTTAGAAGGTTTGCTAGTAATACAAGTAAACAGAACATCTATTGGTTTCACAGGTTTCTTTGTAGGGTATTATAAACAGTACTGTGAACTTCTAATAAAGGTAAATATTTTATTTATTTTCACGTTGTGGAGAAACAGGTTTGTGTCTTGATTGTTTTTGGTTTAACAAAACAACATTGGCATGTTACGTTTTCGTAAATAAATATTAATTTGTACATTTATTAGTGTACATTATTTCACAGTTATAATTTGTCTGCTGTTGGATACTTGTACATGTTTCCAGTTTCTCTAGGAAACGTTAACAAAACTGTGTGGTCCACCCCATCTTTATCACATATATTTTCATTATTTTGAAATCATTATCTCGGTAATGTGCTTACAGGTGTGACCATGTCAGCTGGGCCTTACAACTATTCCTATATCTTCAAATACATTATTATAGGCGATATGGGAGTGGGCAAATCATGCTTGCTTCATCAATTTACAGAAAAAAAGTGTAAGTATGTAGTTAATTTAACAGGGTATTTGGAAATTTAAAAGGAAATACCACGAACATCAAACTCCTGTTCTAACATATACTATGCCATAAGATGGTTGGAGATTGATGTTCAAGTAGGAACATTGTGCATATGGGGGAAGTTATGCCCTATTTTGTGGTACTCACCCAGCATTCACTGATAGTGACTGAAGTTGACATTAAAACAATCCAGTTCTGGTTTGGAAACTTTGGAAATTGGGATACATTAATGATATATTCCGTGCTTCTAGTGTTTATCATATGAAATTAGGATTTATATTACTGACCGCATTCCTTAATATGTCATATAAGCAGAAGCCTTGAAGATGAGCAGTGTCCTATATTGTTAACATGGACACAGAAATTAGTTTGTTGATAATTTGTTCAAAATGGTTGTGTATTGAACAGCTGTTGTTAGTAATTTGTTCTTGCTTCTGCTTTTACCATTGAGCTGTTGAAGTAGATGAACCATACGTTTTTACTGTGTTGGTCATTGACATGGAAATTAAGTTGAAGTCAAGTTCATAGTTGACAAATACGGACGTTCAGCTCTGAATTTGTTTATATATTTTTCTGTATTATTTATTGTATTAAATCAAGAAATTTTTTTAGGAAATTGATAGTTCTTGGCATGATAAAACATTTCATGGCATTCAGAAGTTTATTATATTATGAGATGTTTTAAGGTAGTAAAAATGTAATTGTTCATATATAAAATGTATATAAGTATTTAGGTGTACGTCTAGTCTTTTATACATGTGTTGCCATGTTATTTATTTTCACTGTGTTTTCCGTGTCTGTGACCAGTTAATTTGAATGTCATTTATTCCCTTTGCTTTAGTATATTAAGTGCAGCAATGCACATTTGATTTTACCATGGTATGCCATCATAATATTTGAAGGCTATCAAACAAAAGTGATAAATTATTAATTGTTAAAATGCACATTCATCCAATATGAAACTACCTGAAAGCTTATGGGTCAATCTTAAGAATTGTATACTCATGGACCTAAGTTCTGTAAAAATAAAATCTGTTGAAAGGAGTGAGTATATTTGTCAATCTCACATCACTATTAACTAACCAACAATATTTAAAAATGTCTTGAGCATTGCCATTGGTAGGTGTTCTTCACACTCTACTGTGAGTAAAGAATATCTTATGGGTCAATCCGTGTTTGTCTGTAGTAATTTTTCCTAAAAGGTTGGCAATGTGCATGACCAGAGTTCATTATAGTGAATTCATCCCGAGAAGAATTTGTTATACTTAGTCTCTGTAAATGTTGCAGATCATACACCAAAGGTTGTTATTCCACAGCAAATGAAACTTACTATTGTTAATCCTGTTATTACTCTTATTATTCTTGTTCTCATAAAAAGTAACAGTAAAGTAAAGCTGTCCCACTATGAGCCATATAGGCGCTTGAGGGGAAAGGAGTATAGCTCCTACTCATTCTTGACCTCGGCACTATATTGGGGTGAGACCTTTGCTGGAACACATTCTTGCACAAGAATTGTCTTGATCATATTCATGCAACACTGATCTATGAGACATCATGGAGAACCTCCTTGGAATGTAATTGTATGCCAAAGAATACATCTTTCCATTCTTGTAGATTGTTCTGGGAAGGGTCACTATTCAATAAAATCAGAGATGGGTAGTTTATCTGAGTATGATGGTGCAGTATTTTGATTCATATAATTAAAAAGGCCAAACATATGTATTATAGTAAAACTATTTAAAAAATTCTAAACAATGAAAAGATAAATATTCTAAAGTAGAAGAACTTAACACTTGTTGGTTTAGAATTTAAGTGAAACATTTAGCACAATGTACATGCACATTGTGATGGTGAGAATATGTGTCTTAGAAAAGTAGTATACTAACCAGACTAAGGTAGTTTTTTTACATCATGGCTGCTGGTCCAGACTGGGAGGAAGATTGATGAGGGGTGATTTTCTGGCAAATGGTGGGATTTTACAGTTTCAAAAAGGATCATCTGTGTTCCTTATTCCTTCAAACATTGCTGTAGTAATGGCAAGCAATATGAGAGATTCCACATGGCAGTATCGGTGTTCTTAGTTACGCTTTATTACTGCCCTATTATATTATGAGGGCTGCTTATTTTTGGCTGTGTTGGACACATAACCAAGTCCATTATCTCAAATTCACCTCTCAAGTGGTATTTGGGTTAGTTTCCAGTTATTTGTATATGAAATAAGTTGATCATAAAAAAATCATTGTCCTGATGATGGAGGCAGTAACATCTCATAAGACAGTTATCTTCATACTCACCACCATTAGAACCTGAACTTTTATCCTAATTATGACCAGTTCCTCTCCAGTCTTTACCAAGGTTTTCTCTTTGTTTTATTAGTCTGTCATCACATGAAAAATTGTTGTCTTTTGTCCATAGTGTTTTTTCTGGTTTTTGTAGATACTGTAACATCTTCTTTGTACCATTGTGTTTCTTTTATTGCTGATGTTTGTGTATCCTGCTCATGCAAGTAGTGGATTTAATATATTAAGTTCTGAAATAATATTTATTTTATGTTGGTATTTGATTTAGAAAATAGTGAAATTAATAAAACAGGCCATTTATTGCCCACTTATGCAGCATCCAGCATTCATAGATGCTTTTCTATATAGTAAAAGCTGGAAAGGAATTTTTCAGTATGAGAAAGTTATGTCTTACCACCAGTTTTGTTATCTTTCACCTTGTAATAAATAAATTTGATTGATTCTTGCTAAATACAGGATTTTGTGTGTTAACATATTTCTATGTCATTTATGTAAAAATTCTTTTATTATGAAATATGCCAATACATTCAAAAACCATCATATTTCTCCCAAAACTTGTAAGTTTGTTGAGTATGGTGTATTTCCTGTGTTTTCCATGGATCTGTATGTTTTCTTAGAATAGTGGCTCTTGAATGCCAGCTGTGTAGAAAACCATGTACTAAGTCAGTGTATCATATTGTTGCAGTCATGGCTGATTGTCCTCACACAATTGGAGTTGAATTTGGCACGAGGATAATTGAAGTTTCAGGACAGAAAATCAAACTGCAGATCTGGGATACAGCAGGACAGGAACGTTTCAGGGCTGTAACTAGGTGAATATCTATTTCTGTCTCTTTTACTGAAATGTTGAAGTACATCTCACATTTAATAGATCCACAGACACATTCAGTGATGTTACTGTTTTATAGCTTGTTTAATAATATCTTCTCAGGAACATAAATGGTCTCTTGATAGGATGATTGTGAAAGTTTTGCAAGTGCTTGTGGTGTGTCTAACACACTATCCCAGTATTTCACTTTAGAATCTGATGAAAACAATGAAAAGGCTTAGAATACCTAGCTTCTGTGCTAAGCATTGGCCCTGGGGCCTTCCAAATACAAAGCTGGGGTACTACTCTCCCAGGCATGACATTTATCACATTCCATTCACTCAGGAATTTTGCTTTAAGAGTATTTTCTTGTACTTTTCAGTTTGTGTCCATGTATCTCCAGCTAAAAAATATAATTCAATGTTTTGTGTATTTAGCCATTTTTTATGTAGAGTATAATGTAGATCTCGGTATAGGGAGGTTGTGTCTCCACCTGCCCATAACTACATGAAGTTCCAGTCAGGACATTCTACTTTTGTTGGAAGATTGGATCACATATGTATAGTCAGAAAAGATTTTTTGTTTCTTGATCAGAATCCGTGTTCTGCAGGGATTCAGGCTGTCAGTATGAAATTGTTACTAAAGTGTTACCAGCAGTTGAGAAAATGCATTAATATGTCTTACGTAGCTGTAGTTGCTATGTTACCTCTTATTTGGAAATATTAAGCATGTATGCATAACATAACAGTTACAGTATATTTGCTCTGTTACTGCTTGTTGATTTTTACTATAAGTAGTTATAAGAGGTTAAATATTCCATCAAAATATGACCTTTGTGTGGGCAGGTGGGATGGATGTGTGGCTGTGGATTTCCCAATGTGTAAGTTTTTGTGTTGAATGCTTTTAATTTTTGCCCTTTCTTCCCAAAACTGGAATGTATTTACGAGTTATAAATTCCCCATTATAAAAATTCACAAAAATTCATTCAGTTGTTCTCGAGTTCATACATATAACAGACAGACAGATGATGAAGGTAATTTATGTGTTTTTTAAATTTTTAGTGACACGTGAGCCTAAATTAGGAATTAATGATTAATTTAGTTCACTAGTAAGTGGCAGGCAGTTGTTTGCTTTGTATGTTACCAGAAATTTGTATGAACGAATGATAAATAAATATGTGTATCATTTTAATTGATCTAGTATGGATAAATGAGGAGTGGAAATTGTTTATCTTGTATTCCTTCTGTTGAGGAACCTAACAAGAAACAAAGTACTAGTATATAAAATACTTCTGGTTTCTCTATTCCATTGTGTAGTTCACCTTTCCAATCTCTTTTTTTTTCTTTTGTTTTCTTTTTGATCTCCTATGGCATTCTTGGTGAGTGTCCTGAGTTTCATATCTCGGGTTCATTTTAATGTGTTTATAAGGTTTTATTTGGGAAGCCTGAATTGAACAGACAGCTTGGGCGACTAGGTATTGACAGAATGATTATATAAAAAACAATTTTGAAAATAAATAGAGTGTTATGATATAGACTGGATTCATCTGGTTGAGGGTGGAGACCATTTGCGGGCACTTCTGAAAATGAACCTTTGAGTTCCACAAAAGGCTGGGAATTTCTTGACTGACTGATTGCTATCAGTTTTAAAAGAATGGTGTTCCATGGAGCCAAGGTTTAATAGTGTAATTTATATTACTCATAGTATTATGATAAAAGTGTTAGTGTTTCATGTTAATTTTAATTTACACAGTTTGCTCTGATTTTTAAGGTCATATTACCGTGGAGCAGCTGGAGCTCTTATGGTGTATGATATTACTCGACGCTCTACTTATAATCACCTAAGTAGTTGGCTTACTGACACAAGGAACCTCACGAACCCAAGTACTGTAAGTTAACAGTGTATATTATTTTCAATACCTTGTAATACATGCAATTCCATACTTTAAACTCTGCTGTTACTCAGAAAACATAAAACAAAACAGAGACACAAGAATTTAGTTCAATTTGAGTTCAGTTTTAAATTTGGAGAAAAACAGTTGTAGTGTATTTTCAATTACATTTGATTTCAGGTGATATTCTTGATTGGAAACAAGTGTGATTTAGATGCACAGCGAGATGTTACATATGAAGAAGCTAAACAATTTGCTGATGAAAATGGCCTCATGTTTGTAGAAGCCAGTGCAAAGACGTAAGTATAAATGTTTTGTGTTACTTGATTTATTAATCTAATATGTATTTACAGAATATAGGTATAGACATTTTTTTGTCTATTAAGTAAATTATTTGCCTTTCATTCATTGACATTTCACAGCCATCAAAGTATCAAACATGACATATATGGGTAACCATTATTAGAGTGCATTAATATTTGCATTTCATTTATTTACTTTCCTTACCACCATTCAGAGGAGAGAATGTTGAAGAGGCTTTCCTGGAGACGGCTAAGAAGATTTACCAGAGTATTCAGGATGGCAGGTTAGACATTTTTCTCACTAACTGTAAATGCCATGTTCAGTGACAAAATAAAGTCACCATGGAAGGCATGAGAAGTTTATAGGTGTTATAGTTGTTAGATTTAAAAAAAATCATTAATGTATCAGTTTTAATGTGCTCATCTGCTGCATGTTGGATCCATAGAGGTGATCCTGAAGGTGGCATTTTTAAGACTTGGCTTATCAGTAATCTGTGAAGAATTTTCCTTAGCCATGCTATTGATAACTGAAACACTTAAATGCCACCCTAGTGGTGGGTGAATATTTGCAGAACTCTCTTAATATTAATCAGAGATCTTAAAATTCAATTCTCTTACTAAAAGTATTAAATCCTTCTGTATTCATGTTTCTTCCATTCCGTTTGTTGATTGCTAGCAGATGATGTATGGTGTAATGCATAATCTGCTGTTTTATTGTTAGGTAGCCATGGTTTGAAGCATAGAGTTATCTGTTTGGTATTCCTGAGGGTCAGAAATAAATCCTTAATTTTTTAAGAAATCCTGTCTGATGTATTCTGTCTATGTGGTATTTACAGAGGTTGCCTCAGAAGTCCATTGTTATTCCATCCCTAAAGACATTTTTTAATTGTGCATATTTTCAGATTATCACAAGAATATGTGGACACATTTACTACCGTTCTCTGGTTTTCCACATAATCACCACCTCTTTAAGTGTGCATAGTCCAGCAATGATTAAGACCTGTAGTTGATATAATGCATCAGCATACCATCGAGAATCATTAATGGTTCCCCCTTCCAAAAGATTGACAAGGGTTACTCCACAGCTATCCCTAACACAGGACACGTGACCTTCCCAGCAGATTGAGTCTTGAAGTTCTTCTTTAGCAGTGAATATTTGTGGTGCCTGAAAATGACCTTGCACAGAAATAAATTTATTAGCACACCACTGTTTAGTGTGCGCTTTGATACTGTCAGTCGTTTTAAACTGCTGTGTCTGTGCTGACCTCTGGGATGAGTTTGTGAAACTCTCAGAACAATTTGGGGGGGGGGGGGGGGGGGGGGGGGAATCAGATTATCTAATTCTCCATTTAATGAAGGTGTTATGTATATTCTTCTGAATCAGAAGGACAACAAAATAAGAGATTACGCAATGTAGCATTGTGGTGGTAAATAACACAGAGATGTGTAATGTCATATTTTCTGTTTTGGAACCTGAATTATTGGTAGGAATAATCCAGCGTCTGTTTCTTAGTGCTCTAATGCTAATGTCTGTTAATGGATTGAAGTGCCCTATTATTTTACATTGTTTATGAAGTTCATTGAATGTAGAAAATTAATGTAATGTGCATATAGTACTAACTATTAAGAAAGAGTTTATGAAATGTATGTGATGAGTAAGCATTTTTATTATTTTTATATGATACAGTTTATTTTAAAAAATTCCAGACAGAACAGATGCTTTCACTGCCAGTAATATAATCATTCATAGTTCTTTTTTCAGTGTTTGATGTGTAACTTTGATGCATTTAATTGATTTATTTGTGTGTTAAGCTTTGATATATTATATCTTTTGTGTAGCTACGTTTTAGTTTCTCTTGTACATTTTTTTTTAGTTATTATATACAAGCTATAACTTCCATAAACTCATGAGTCCAGTGACATGATTAAAATAACAGTTCAGTAGTTAGCTAAGACATTATTTCCTGTTGTAGGTTGGACTTGAATGCGGCTGAGTCAGGTGTCCAGCATAAACCTTCACAACCTGGCCGAAATACTCTGGTCAATGACCAGCAGGTTAACAAAGACACTTGTGCCTGCTAGGTAGGTAGGTAGGTAGGCAGATTTCAGATGTCTAGTTCATTACAGTGTAACCTGAGTGGGATTCAGTTGTATGACCATCTGTGTACAAGCTAAAAATGTTAACTCATTAGTTACATTGCATTTCATTTATAAGTTATAAATTTAAATTACTTAGATATAACATTAAAACACAAGATCTGTGTGGCTAGAAATATGTACACCAGAAAATTAGGCTGTATGAGTTCTGTCAGGAACTGTTTTATCTGTTACATATAATTTCACTTACCTTCATACCATCAACAATTTTGTTGCTGTCTGTTCTGTCCCCTCCTCCATGACTTCTTCCCACTTTCCTTGTTTTCTTTTTTACTCTTTGTCTCTGGAGAAGCCTTCAAATTGGTAAGTTCTGTGATATAATTTGCTTTTGAGAAGCGTTGCGCAAACAGACTCATTGGAACTCACAGCATTCTTCAATAAGTTCCTTCTTGTTGACTGAAAGTTCATCATTGTTACCTCAGAACCCCATCATGAGACTGTCTTAGCCTATTCACATCATAAGATATGTTTTAACATTTTCCTTCCATTTATATATAATCTTGCACTTTTTGTGGCATTTTCCAATGAACGTCTTATAGACTTGTGTTGTTCTCCGTTTCTACTATGAAGTTTAAATATTATTTTGGTTTTATTGGTGTCACTAGTAAATGTTACATTGATCATGTTGGATAGGATTCATCAATGAAGAGGTGCTGCATCACTGTCATACGTGGATATCTGCAGTTTGCTTCTGCACCACCAGTGAGTGATCAGTTACAAGTATAACGTTCTTTGTGATACGACTAACGTCCTATTTGTCGGTTTTGTAACCGATTGTTTGGACAAGATATAATGTCTCTTATGCATGGAGGCATATTTCAACAATTCCAACGCGGGTCGGTTTGCACACTCTCACTAGGCACCTTGCTTCTTGTATCTGCGATGGGTGACACATGTTCTCTGAACTAGCAAACAAAAAAAGGGGGGGGTGAATGAACATGGCTTAAAGAGAATTCTGATCATCAGCACATTGTGTTTTCTTTTCTTTGCCAATTAAAAGTTTCTGCTGGCAGGACTGGGGGCTTGTCAGTAAGGCTTTGCACTATATTTTACAACCACTGCAAATTTAAGCAAATTGTAGACTGGTCATTTTAGTTTAAATTGCTTTTGTACTGATTCAGTGTAGATGACAAAATTTTTGACCGTACTTTCATGTTGTCTCAAGTTATGTTAAGTGTTGTTACACTAAATAATATACTGTCTTGTACATGGCTGTTGTTCAGTTTTTCAGTGGGTGAGGTTTCTAGTTATCAGAAGGTACTTGCTGCTGCAGTGTCAGATTGAACATTCTGAATATGGTACTCAAGACAGGATACTTTGGCATTAGATAATAATATAACACAATCTTTTATCTGTATTACTCTGTCTTGTAAACCATAAAATAGGCTACCACAAGTACTCATTTATAAAATACTAATTTATAGTAAAAGAAAAATGTGTTTTACATGCGTAATAAGTCTAGACAGTTTGTACTTCATGTGGTTTGTGTAGGGGTTATATTACATAACAGGTCATGGCGTAATCACCTCTTATGCATGATATTTTCTTGTCTGTAACTCCTTAGGTCACAAGATGTACAGTCATAATTCTGTTGTAAGTGTGAGCAAATCCCTTTCAGGTTGATTTACTTAATTGGAAATGAAAATGTTGATTGAGTTCAGTGTTTCATACAGTAACCAGCTCTTGAATGCATATTTTTGACTTTGTCTTTCTTTTCTGCATTTTTTAATCGAGATGAAATAGATGACTTATGTCTCATCTTTCCTTCAAGCACTGCATTACATTTTCCCTAGAATATTCTATACATCATTGAAGTAGCTGAATAATGTGCAGTAATGTATGAGGTGTGTGTATGCGTGTGTACATGTGGCTGTGGCTGTATGCAATTAGGATCTAAAACTTGTAATCTATAAGATGTGACCAAACCTTATGAAAGCCATGTATATTCACTATGTTATATAAAAAAAAACTGTGTCATGCTGCTAATATTCCACGTAATGAGATAGATAGAGCTCATTAGTTCAAGGACTTTTATGTTATTGCTGTAAAATATCTACCAGATGGAATACCTTAAAATAATAGTACTTGTCAGTGTACCTAAGAACTTGGAATTGACTATTTTATTATCTAAACCATGTTTATCACCCTGCATTTTAAACAAAGTTTAATGAAACATTCTTTTTTGAAATATAATTAAAATATTTGGCAGGCATAAAATATTGTATGTATGTACGATCTTTGTAACATATATTATTAAATAATTCAAATAGTCCCTGAAGAACCACATTAAAGGATGATTATTGAGGTTGAAGTTCATAGTATAATAGTATTAAATGATATCTTGTGTTATATAAAAACTGGAATGTTTGTAAAATAACTGAATTTCTGTCAGTACCAATTAACTGTAAAGATCATGCATTTACCTGTAGAGTGTTGGCTTATGCCTGTGAAGTAGAATAATGTTGACCCACAGTGGCAGTGAGCTCCTGCTCAGTGTAATTGAGCTTTTTTTTCAGCTGCCTTCATCTTGGTTATATTAATGAATGTACAGTTTTTGAATGTTTATGTTTGTGAAGGGAATCTCATTATCAGTTTCTGTTTAGATTGTGCACTTTTTTTGAAGGGGTACATTTTAATGGGAATGCAAAAGTGTTCAGAAAAAACTGCATCTGATTTGACTATTCTATCTATTATTATTATTATTATTATTGTAAGTCATATATAAATTATTAAGTAGACTGGCTCTAAAATGTCCCATTCACTGCTACAATCAAGGATGGAGATTTTTTATAAAGGGCATGGTGGAAAATTATTCCAGTTTGGCCTTCCATTTTGCCTTAGGTATCTGTGGTTCACAAATGGGGAAGTAGAATATGGAGAGTAATTCATTTAGTAGGACTAGTGAATTATCATGTAACACTCTTAGCTCCTGTAACAAAATTTGCTGTAGTCCCATGTTGTAGCGTATGTGCTGGTCACTTTGTCCCACCCAACCCTTCCTCCTCCTAAAGAAACTGTATCACTCTGAATAAAATGACATTCCGATAAATTGATAAATGTAATTCGCTTTACTTTTATTAACATGTCCACGATGTATGAAAGTTACTAATGCCATGGAGCACATTCATTCATGAAAAGCAGATAGCTGCTTGTCAGGTAAAGACATTTTCTGGAATCCTAATGTCCCTTCTTTCTGCAAGAGCCTGATATTGGCCCTATCTTGAGTCAGATGAATACAGTCCGCATCGTAAAAGTTCTTGTCCATCCAGATCAGGTGATGGCATAACAAGGCATGTTTTCTGATATCATTAACAATTTTTCATCATACAAGTCACATATTATTTTGAGAGATGATGTATATTGAATTCAGAATGCAATGTAATGAAGTGTTTAAATTGTGGTATTCATATTATGAAGTGAACTTAATTGAAGAAATAACATCACAGTTATGCCAACGTGTTTCCTTGTGTGCCTTCTGATGAATTAAATTTGCTATTGGATTGTCCCAGTTCTGATTGCTGTGACATTTTTAAGGCCTCTTAAAATAAGATTTATCATTGTCAGCAGTGACATTTCTGATGGTTTTATTTTTTCTAGTAGAATGAATTCTGTTTTGTCTCATTTCTCAGTGAAGATAAAAGGATTCATAATATGATTCTCATTTCCTAAAGTGTTGACCTAAAATGACCTTGGAAATATTACTAAATTTATTTACGATTAAATACTGTTAAAGTTTGACATAAAACATTATTTATTTTGAAGTATTAGTAAACTCTCAGAAAAACTGAGACCGGTAGCAAATAAATTTCTAGCGCAATTTAAGTTTTGTCTGAATGTTCATTCAGCTTTTATTAATTTTGAATTGATTAATTGTTTTAATCTCTCTAATTTAATAAGTAGCCTGGAAGCACAGCTATATTCTTTGTGTGTGTGTTATTTAAGGTTGAGGTCTTTAGGTACTATATCGTGTTCACTGCTCAGTATTATTATCAGATTTATCTGACCACATATGTTGTGAGTTATAAATCTGGGTTAATATCGCAGTATGAAACATCTTTGTGCCTGTTTTCACATTCTGAACAGTGACCTTATATACCTATTATATTTTGTGGTATTAATATTAGAGATTTCTGCTTTCCAAGTGAGTGGAGCCAAACATTCAGTCACATGGAATTTTAAAACAATTTGTGGTGGGCCATTCATTCTTTTCAGTTAATTTTTCACCAGTCCTGTGATTCTGTTCATATCACAAAAAATAAGGAACCTAATACCTCTTGTACTATCTTGTTTTTCTGATTGCTTGGACCTGCTCTGGGAGTCGCTATGGCCTAGTGAACCACACATGGTTTTAGTCATTCTACCCATCCACCCACGTGTCTGGCCAGCCCACCCCTGTGCGCCAATAAACGTGGCTCCCGACTGTTGTGCGCTCTGGCCCTACGTACCTCAACCGGTTTACCCAGCATCTGTCATGTTGATCTCCCGAGTAAGGTCGGAGATGCGTCCTAAATAGTAGGAGAGCAGAGAATTCAGGATGAACGTAGTCTGGAATGGCCACTGTCTACCTCTTGGTTTTATCTAAGAACTTGATAAAAGGCGGGAAGTTTTGCCTCGTGGTAAAATTCCAGAATGAAACGAACACGTCAGGGCAAAAAAAAATCTCTTTCCAACGAATTCATTGTCCATAAAATGAAAACGGAGGGCTAATAATTCCAGTTTCAATTCAACTGGCATTCATAATAAAGCTGGTTGGCTAGTTGGCTTAATAAGTTCTCGTTTTTTGTTTGGCATTGTCTTGTGGTGCAGATTGATCTGACGCTCGCAAATTGTCCCACGAAAGTGGATAATCGATAGGCCTAGTAAATTATCTATGAACGCTATCGAACCAGAATCGATTGGATGTCAGTAATGTGATTATGTTGTGGTGGTCCTTTGGTGCGTTCGTCATTGCAAGGATTACAAGATTATTTTCTTGGGTGAGTATTTTTAATTGTCGACTAGACTAATAATTCATCTTCCAGAAATTATTGAATTAAGTTTTCGGGCTATATTAATAGATAATGCAGGACTGTTGTTATTGGAAGGCTTGTCGTTTAGCAGTGGCATCTTACAAAGGCAACGAGGAATGTTATATATTTAGCAAGAAACGTGTTACATATTTATATGTCTAAATGGCCCTGCCAGGAATTTCATAGGTCACACATCTTCACGTGAACGATGCTTCTGTTAAGGTACATGTCTAACGGAAATATTTAAGTGCAGTTAAATTGATTCAAGTTCGGTTATGAACTCTATAGGCCTAACTAACGGCAAATAATCGGTATGTTGGAAAAGTCTGAACCGTTGACCATGTAACAGTCCTTGAGAGACTAATCATTCATCTCTCCAATAAATTCTCTACAATTTTATTAAATCCGAAATGAAATTCGGCCTGTCGTATTCACAAATGTCAGGTGAAATTAGTCCACATCATCAAACCAGTTTCTTAAATGCCGTACCCATTTTAATTATCCGCCCACCTACGCCTCGGTTTCCTGTATGGTTTGTTGCCTACAGATTTTGTGACGATAATGTTACATGTGTGTTGCTCACCTCTTTGCGTGTTGCATGCCCTGCCCATCTCATTCTGCTTGATTTGATATGACAAGAAATAATGTCCTGATTCACACAGTTGTGTTCAGTGTCTGATCATAAAACAATAATTGCAGCAGTAAATAAATCAAGGCTTCTGTTTCTGTTGTGCATTCGTGATTATATTTTACGTACTCTAATATATCAAAACTATTCTGCATGCTGCTTCCGCCTTCTCTTGTAGGATTCAGTAGGAAATGTGGGTGGTAACGCCTACCTGGATATTCATACTTCTGGGTGGTCAGTACTGTTGATACAGCAGTGTAGCTTCGTAAAACATTCACAATTCTATTTTGTTAGAAAATCAATTTCTGCATTATATAAGATTCGTACTGCAACAAAATATGGTACAATCACTCCCCTTCCCCTTGGAACTGTTTTATTAGCCCCACCCAGCTGCGCTGTGGCATGGGTCTTCTCGCTCACCTCTTCTGCAGTGCTGTTCTTCTGTTACCGATGTCTCCAAATTCGCTGAGCGATAATGGCGGCGGCTTAACTAGGTTGAAATTTGGAGAAAAATATGCAAAGGAAAAACTGACTACGTGTACGTGTATTTTAAGCATTAGGAATGAAATATGAGTGACGAATTTGTTATCCTACGAATACATAAACCATTTGCGTTTACATATTTGGAAGTAACATACATAGACAGGTGGTTTGTTTGCTCCTTCCTGAAGGAAAGAAGGAAACTCAATAATAATACATACATCGGTCACCCTCATTTAGCTTCCCTTGTTTCATTCTACTGTGCCCAAATTTTCTCGCACAGCTTTTCTGTGCACAGAGTATCAAGATAGTAAGAAGGTAAAGCTACAGCCATGCTGGACTTGTCCATCTCTTTATACATCATGTTATGCCAATATCAGAGATTTACTACACTCTCTGTTATTGTCAATCATGTATGTCATCTCCATCTTGTCCAATGACACAATGTGTCAGTCCTCCCACACTCACTGTCAGCCATAAAAATGGTCAGACTTTCTGTGTTTAAAGTTTATACATCAAACAAATTTTATAATCTTAGTTCTATTAACAACATTAAAATTCACGTTCGAATTCGAATTCCACCTATTTGTTAATTTTATATATTTACGGGTTTCGTATGATTATCACGTGAGTTTCACACGCGCAAAACCCCGGTTGTCTTCTTGCTTTCGGTACTTCTTACCCCACAATCTCGAAGTACAATTCCCCTGAATAACAGCTATACGGGTATTCTATATTTATGCACACGCACGTTTTCGTACAAAAAAGAAATATCGACAGCTTTCTGTCAGTTGCATATCACTACGGATGTTACAGGCCTTCCTTTGATGAACGATCAATGCCGGGTTTATATAGTACCCACCTAACAGTCGACGGAATTAAGCGCATTCGAAATTCATTGCAACAACTTCATTAAAACGTTGCATGCATTTGGAGATTTCGGGAACAGAAACTTTTACCGGTCATATTGACGAAAATAACGGGAGTATGACAACAGACCATTTAGCAATTCTGTAGCAAGGCCTACATAGGTAATTAGCATGTGGGGATAATCAGGTTTGCAAATACCTTTTTAGAAGAAAGCTGTAGAGGTAAATGGGAGAATAATATTAGGAAAGGTTTTATAGAAAATATGCAAACTGAAACTGAAGCTTACCATCGCCTGAGATGTCTATCTAATACTTGCTGCTTCTTATCATCAGATTATTACCACACTCCATGAAGATGCTTAAGATCACTTCTCATATATATAAAACTATTTCAAACCAGTTATATTTCAGTCTTATAACTGAACACATGATTGTAATTACAATTATGCAACCATATGTAATTGGTCCATTTTTTTCTTTTGCTGAATCCCATGGGCTTTTGATGCTTACTAAAGATTATGTTAGGGGCCTATTTGACACAATATATAATGAGTGTCATAATTTGCATTCTTATTACAATTATTAAGTGCATGAGAGATGAGAAATGCATGCACTTTAATTAAAAGCATGAAGGGAAGGGTCCACTTAGCAGTGGTAGGCATAAATGGGAAAATAAAAATTATCAAAATATATTTTACAGAAACAGGGTATGAGGAAGTGATCTGGTTTTCTTTGGCCCAGGATAGGATTCAGGTTTGAACTCTTGTGAACAGTAATGAAATTTCAGGTTCCATAAATGGCATGAAATTTATCAGCTTCTCAAGGAGCTTTCTGCTCTATAGTGTCCAATATCCAAATTTGTATTCTTAGGAGAATTACTCACAAGAATGACTAAACTTACCTTACAATATTTTCTGCCTCTGGAAACTAAACACTAAAAAGCTTGTGTAGCTGATTCAGGTCTCCCGAACAGGTCTAAGCAGCACCGACCGGTTTCCAAGTATTTTTGTAGGAAGGCATTATTGAAGGTAACATAAAAAAGTATAAATTTACATGACATACTGTGCTGTATGAAATACATTTTTCATTGCAGAAATAAAGGGAAGTACAAATTACAATATGGAATGTGACAAATGTACAAATTTGAGAGAAAGTTACAGGAGAGGTGCATATACTTGCTTCATTTCAAGCCTTTCTCTACCACTATGCCAACTTGCCTCATAGTATTAAACAGCTTCAACACTGCATTATGATAAAGCATGTGCCAGGCCTCTCCTCTGACTTTTATCAATTACTGCAGCCATTCATCAAACCTCCTTCATTTGCCTTAAAACAAGCACATGAATTTGGGTAAGATGTATTACTGCTGAACTGTTTACCAGATTGCCTGCTTACATTGACACATACAGAAATGTATATGCAGGTACAGGCTGAAACAAAGTATACTGACCATGCAGACTTTACACACTGATATTGGTTTTTGTTTTTAACATCACAAATACTTAAATAATACTGTATCTTACAACTATCTTCTGAAATTTAAAACAACAATAATCATATCCTTTAATGTACTTTAAAGCTATTAAATATTATTCCATCATACAATCACTTAGTGCTGCTTGTGTATGTTTTGATATAAATTGAACAAAGATGATCTTAGAATTACAAGTATCTTGTTAGACTGACTATATTTTCAAAGATGATCCAAAAGGAATTCAGTAATGGTTAGTTTCATGTAATGTCAATTACAGCTTGACACTTTCTATAAAGGCACTTCATTTTTTTATTAATTTGGTATTATCCACATACATTTGAATAACAGTGTCCATGGGAGATTCCAAATATTTCTCACACAGTCTCAATCTGCAGTGAACAGTCATACTGATAACAGAAGAAACAGCATAGACTAATTACGTATTTCCCTTTTTCCTCCAAATATCTCAAGTCTAGAGTAGGGACACGCAAAACGCACAAGAGTTTTTCAGAGGGCTAGAACAGTGGAGATGGAAGACAAAAATAAAATTACCTACAAAAAGTTTAAGTTTATTATTATAACTGTTAAAGCATAAAGACGATACAACACTGCTATTCATTAATGGCTGGAAAATGACAGCACCAGTAGATAAGACAATTCTTAATAAGTAATTTATTTAACATGTCTGTAGGCACTACTCATACAAGGACCAGAACAAAAATAAAATAATTAAAAATTTAAAACAAAAAAATATGCTACATACTACAATTTTGTAGAGAATGCTGTAAACATTTTGTATCCCAATTGTAAATATACTTTGGTTCAGTAACTACATGTTGTAATGTCCCACTTAAGAACTAGTCAGATTGCCAATAAAATCTTCTCGGGCAATAAGCCACATTAACTGGTTACCATAGTAAACCAACGTTTCGGGAACCAACTCTGAGTTGGTACCCCAAACGCGGCTGATTGCCCGAGAAGATTTTATTGGTTGTACTCGCTGCAAAAGTCTCAAATCCTATATCCTCAGATTGCTTTTATCAATGGATCAAATGTTTTATAAATTAACAGTTATAAATCATATAAAAACAATACAGGTAATTTTAAATTCTTATTCACAGCACAAAGGGGTACGGGGGTGGGGGAAACAGAAACCAATATCAAAGTGTAATGATTTTAAGAAAACACTGCAACCTGTGTATTAGCTATCTTTCATTATAAGATAATATAAATACAAACAGCACTACATTTTGATGTGTTACCTCAGTTAAATTATAATCTGTAGCACAGTATTTTAGGAATGATTTTGAACATCATAGTATATGTTTTCCAGCAGTTATGTGGTGTCAAAATACAAATTCAATTATTTTAATTAATTTTCATATAAAACAGAACTGAAAAATGTGAATCTTCAGTAGATACATTACTCAGAACTGCTGATCAGTTCAACCTGTTTTGTTAACCATTTTAAAAACTGCACAACAAATATATAATTTAAATATTAACTTTATCTCCATCAACATGTGACATACCAACCATGAAATCATTTTTAAAATGTTTAAAAGTAACAAGATTATTATGTAACCAAAGTCAAAAGCCACAACCTTCTACCACAGCACATGAATTTTGAATTCTCTACAAGCTTCATTTAATCAGATGACAGCATTTACCATTAACAACAAAGAAGTTTGTTGTTTACAATCATAAAGGTTTTCTGAACCATTCAACATACCAGTGAAACACTCTGACACTGGTACACATGTATGAAGAAGTTGGAATGGAAAAAAAGAAAAGAAAAAAGAAATAAGGGGGGGGGGGCAGTTATTAATTAATATGTACAATTTTTGAATGGGTGAAGACTAAGACACACTGGTATCCTTCCAGGTGTCAAGGGTGCATGTAATTCTCTAAATTTCTTGCACAAGTATAGAATTTAATACTTTTTACCTGACACAGTTTTAATTTCAAATTGCCAGACAAAAACTGTGTACACTTGGTGGTCTGTAGAACAAATATCAAATTTCAGATTTCTAATACTAATACTGGATTTCCACAGGTCATACTAGACACACAATCAATCCCTCCAATAAAATACAGTATACACAATTTTTAATTTATTTTGACATACCAGCCTCCATTTCCAACTACTTGCTTACTGTTTCTTCCATGTTTATTTAAATAGAAGAACTGAATTGAAAGCCATGTCCCCAGCAAAATTATGACACAAAAGACAAAATTTCAAGGCTTCAAATTACAAAATGCTAGTGCTCATAAGGTTTTATTTGTTACTCAACATACTTTGAAACAAATTCTGGTCATTTCAAGTTCTCCAATTTACTAAAAGCTATGCCAAAATCTTTCCATTAACTAATACATCATGGTAAAGCATATAATACATGCCATTTTATAATTCCAACTATGGTCATAGTTGTTTCTCCATCAGAATTAAAAACTCCAGCAGACATTGACATGAAGTCCAAGATTTGAATGTCTCACATTTTGCTTTGGACACAGCTGTACAAATTGGAAATAATTACTTTCTTCTTAAAATATTTTACCCAATCCCCATATGTTCCATTTAAATGGTTGCAAACAAATTGCTCTAATTTGAGATTATGAAAAATGTGCATTAACGCTGAAGATTTCAGTTTGGAATATCAAAGCTTGTGGCAGCTGCAAATGGATCTTCAAACCACTGTGTTTTTAATGAGTCTATGGTTGTACACTTCTCATTTGATCCGCAACTTTCCTTCACCCAGTAGCCATAGACAAACACGGTCCACAAGGAACGATAGAACAAAGTCTGCAAATAGCACTTGCACCAGGATGATTCGAAACTGTTGAATATGCACAAAAGAAATGCATTACAACTGAACTACTAAAACTCAAGATACATGAGACTAGTTTACCAGTTGATTTGTACTGCTGTGAAGTATCTGCTCTCATTTTCAGTAAAGAATATGAGTTACAATTATTTTAAAACAAAGTTCTCATGGAAATGTTTGGACCTAATGGGAGAGAGAGAAAAAAAGGAAGAATATTTATTGTTGGCTGACAACACATAGGGGTTTGACCTGACAGGAAACTTCAATGAAGAGACAAAAATGAATACAAGATTTTAGGGTAGAAACCTTTGGGAAAATGGTAACTTGACCCAGAAAGTTCATAAGAGGACAATATTAATATAAATCTTAGGGAAACAGTATGTGAGAATGGGAATGGATTAATGTAATCAGTATTTTGTTTAATGGTGGTATTAATATTACTGAACTTTTAGGTTCTTTACCAGAGATTTTGTTAATGACAGAATTTACTAAATGTATATATAATTGTAAAATTTTATGTTCTAATTAATAAAACAATGTATCCCAAAATGTTAGGACAGAAAATGGAACTATTACTAGTATGGAAAGAACAACTTACTTCTGGTGGAAATTCTACTATTTCAAACTGGTATGCCATATCTGGGTTTTTTTGCTGAACCCACAATACTATACAGAAGAGCTTTGTTCTCTGTAAGGCTTTCCATATATGGGTGGCCCTGCAAAAATAAGCAAATCAAAATCATATTATTTGACAAGACAGCAATTCTTCTCGGTGAATTGAAGAGAAGGCAGACAAACTGATTTTGCATAAACAAAACTGAGCTGAATAACCAGCTTTCCACATGTAAGCTCTTCAAATTTAAGCTTTCATATAAGAGCTGTTGTTTGAATTAGCCACTGTGAGAACACACTGAAATCAATTTCCATCCCCAAGTTCTTCAAAGAATTTTGTTTTTGACTTGACATAAAGATCCACATAATTTGATGTCTCTCATTACTATTATTAGAAATGTCTTCAGTCAGTATGACATAAAAATCCACACATATAATTATTATTATCTCATTCCTACTATTAAAACATTCCTTTCTGTTTCATTTTGTTTTTCTCCAAAAGTATAGAACTTTGGACTTACCCGATAATTAATGGCAAATGTAGAAACTTGCAGAGCCATAGAAATTATGTATACTGTACTGTTTAGTAGACTGGGAACAAACTCCTCTTCTTCTTCCATGGTATCTGCTGGTTTCTCTTCTCTAATGAAGAAAAAACATCTTGTAACAACACCTGTTAATGTATTCATTATAGGAAAAGTAATTTTCATGGTGTTTTATGGGACCAGATTTCTCTTATTTTTGCAATGTCTAAATGTGGCTAAATGTAAAACAGGTACATCTCAACTTAATACTATCCATGTTGGGATAAACAGGAAACCTTCCCACTAACTTTTCAGTGTTACGGACAGAACAGGTCTGCTACACAGGAAAGCATGCATAACAAATATATGCCTCATACTTACTTTGGTGGTGATCTCATGGTAGCTTGTTGAACCAAGTAGATGAGACAAATGAAATGGACTAGAAATTGCAGTAGTACAGTCAAAACTGTATACATATTAAAGATGTTAGGTAGAGGTCTCTGTTGTGATAATGTCTTCAATGGCTGAATATAAAAACAAATTGTTTATATTAAAAGAAACACCTTATTAGCAAACAGTAATTTTTGTTCAAGTTGGTCATTACAATCTCTTACATTATAACCCAAAATAAATCATGGGAGGTGCCAAATACAAATTATATACCTCAATGAGATATATCATGTTTTGCCCTAAGTCTTGATTCATAAGTCACTGTTACGAAATTTCTTTAAAAAGATGAACAATGTCAATGTGCCTCTTTGCACTACTACAAAATTTGTTAATAAGGAAGAACAGAAATACCAACTTACCTTTGATCTGGATATGAAAAGAAAACATGCAGCTAGCAACAACCCTTGTAGTGTTGCTTGCATGTCACTGAATTTGATTCCATCCAGGTACAAGACTGATTGACTATATGCAAGAATGAGGGCATTTAATGCCAAAATCTTGAACATCTGTAATGTTGTTACCAGTGTACATCGGCCCTGTTTTATAACATGGCAAACTGGAAACATAAGACAATACAGAAATTCTTTGCACAGCCAGAAGCATTACAATGAAGTAAAAAGCTGCCTTTAGTCTGTCAGTTTTATAACAGAAGCAATGTTACTGATCTTAGAACTTTCTTATCTTTTGTGCCTATGAAAAACTTGCACATTGATGAAAGGAAAACATTGAAATGGATCTTACATAAACAGAATGTGAATGTGTGGTCAGGAATCATCTAGCTCAGTGTAGTTACTGAAAGCTTTTCTGAACATGACAAAACCCTCTGGGTTTCATGAAAACAGAATTTAACCATCTGTATAACTATCAATTGGTCACGAAAGACTTGTAACATGGAGTTTGACAGTACCTTTGAAACGGGGATGAACCACATCAAATTAATCAATCTATGTTACACTAAATTTATTGTATGCACTTATCTCTGACCCAATTCTGCAGTCTTGTGTAGAAATACTTTATTTTAGGAAACAGAACCCCAGAAACAAAAGGATTCAATAAATCTTTACCCACGTAATTTAAACATGATATATTTTCTTTGGAATGTTTTCAAGCTTGAGATTGAATGGCATTGGGCTGTGATCGTCTGGGGTATGATGCCATGTAGCCTAGCAACCGTCTACCACAGTACATGACATCTTAAGCCAAAAGACAACAATCCCAATTTTCACTGCCATGAAAACCTCGTCTCATTAATGCTTACTGCAATTCGAATATCGCAAGTTCCAGAAAATATTTGTTAATTGCTATTTAAATTACTTACTGCACATTATAGAGGACAGTTTTGATGTGAATGGTGCTGCAATGCTTGCATCACCCAGCTTCACAATCTGTGCCTGGTCCTGTTCTTCAATCTCTTTCAGTAACTTCTGAAGTTGTGTATGTGTCGCATTAACAGCATTCTGCATCAAAATTACATTTTCTGTTTAAAGAAATTAAATGGAGTAGATGTATACTGAGTTACTAATTTCTTCATGAATGCAATTCTGATATGTTACTATCATTCCTAAATACTTTAAATTCCCATGTTTTGAAATTTCTTAGCTACTAGTCAATCCCTTTATATTACAATTTTGTCCTACAGTTTGTTCATTTAATTAAAAATAAATAAAACAATGAACTAAAAACACCTTACAAATCTCAACGTACAGCAATTCTTAAATAATGCATCAGAAAAAACGTGGAAGCACGACACATTTTAGGGCATGAGAAGAGAACAAGGGTTCATAGAAATGTTTTAGATGTTTCAATAATCGTGTCCTTTTGGCCCTTATTCTGAAGCAATTACTCTGTACTTACATAGGTAATATACAATATTTATAGTATAAGAGTAGGAAGGATATACTTATTTCTTGTATCATATAAACTTACAAAAATGAGGAAGATGAAATTCCAAATATACTTGAATGCCACTCTCAATGTTAATCAAGAAATACACTTTGGTGATTCGCTTCAGCCAGTGTAATCCAGACATTTAAAGTGACATGTAAAGTCTTATATTTTTAGAATTTCAAAGTAGTTTTCAAAGTGCCTTGCAAAACTAGACAAATAACAGATCTGAAAAAAATAAGTAAAAATAATGTTTACTAGAAAATAACGGAGACAGTGATGGAGGTTTCATAACTTACTTGTCTTGAGTTTCCATGTGATCCAGGATTTGTTCCTCCTAAACCATGACCTCTGCGTTCTCTATCCCCTCTTTCTGGCTTCTTCTTTTCTGGTAACCTCTCAGGAGCATTTGACAAAATAGCAACACCTTAAATGAGAGAGAAAAAAAGGGGGATTTTCATGTCTATCTGGCAGTCAAGGAATGAGGCCACTTGTTCACCAGCTATGGCCTACATTGTCCAAGCCTCTTTAAACTTCATCTTCTGTTCTATAACCCATGTGATTTATAATTTAACAGCCTGGGAAGTCTATCTTTTTTTATTCTGTCCAACATGTTGAATCCATTCATCCCTTCACTATGTACTTAAAAATGTTGTCAAATTCGGGTTCTATTTTTAGTACTTTTAGTGTTTTCATTTATCTTATAGTGCATCCAGGTGTGTTCTGTTGTTCTCATGAAATTAATTTCATCAGCTTTAATTCTGTTTTTGTTGTTTGCTTTCAATATACAGTACTCACTGCCAGAAAATTAAAATGTTGGACCTTGATGACTTAAATATTGTTTAACAAGATGTTAATTGTAAAAATGTAGAAGTTATATCTTCTATAATTTTTCTGCGTCATATGACATTCAGCATCTGGGGTATCTGGAAGTACTGGCTTGTCAGGACTTCTAGCAAATGTATGGTGACAATGACTATATTGAATATGACACTTACCTACATCAGCATGTTTCAGTGCCCCCACATCATTTGTACCATCTCCACACATCAGGGTTGTAAAACCAAGAGATTTCAGGGCTACAATGACAAATTCTTTCTGTTTTGGTGCAACACGGGCAAAGACAGATATATGAGGCAAAATTTGATAAAAGAACTGTCTATGATGTTCACTCAGGAATGTCAAGCCCTGAGAAAAGAAGATCATGACATGACTACAGGAATTTGTTATGAATATTTTCATTCTGAGAGGCACTGTAACATTAACTCACCTCTCCTGTCACACAGAGATCATAATTTGATACTAATTCCTTATAAGTCTTCTGTGGCAAGACTGACAGGTGTTGTGACTGGTCGATGCTCTCCCATACCCAACTACCATTCCCTAATTCAGTAAGAATAAGAGTCTTTGATTTCTGTGTAAATCGCAGCTCCTTGGCTACATGGCAAGCAGTAAGGGGATTGTCACCTGTTATCATTACTACCTGCAAGCAGAACAAATATAAGGTGTAAAGTTGTTGGAAAGTAATTCTATCCTGGCTTCTTTTCCCTTAACAACATATTTTAGCCTTAAGAGAAAGCATGCAAACTGGCATATCACTGTAGACCAAGACAGTTTCACTGTATAAACAAATTTCCCAGTACAGTAGGGCCCCGCTTTTCAATTGCATGCATATGCCCCTCGCGCTCAACAGCAGAGTCAGAGAAATGCGTCCGGCGCCATTTTTTCATCGCTGATTCAGTCTGTTTACAGCTACTACTGATATTCATTTTACTTTTATATAGTTTTTTTAGGCCTATCACTATTGTGCACTTACTATATGATAGTTTAAACATCTTATTAAGCTTCTATATGCATTTGCAATTGAAAAAAGGCAAAGATCCGCTTTTCGGCGGGGGTCTGGTCCCTAACCTGCCATATATGCGGTGCTCTACTGTACGTGATATTCTCCCTTCCCTACTTCAGAGATCTCTCCTTTCCAAATATTATATTTAGTACATTGTTTTCAAATACTTATAATGAATGATTCTTCATCGTCCATTTATGATACACTGCAGAACTAAGTTAGTCTCTCATCTACATAAACCTATCAATCATCTCCAGGTAACATGGTAACACTAGGTGCTTACCAGATGTGAGGCATTTAGTATCTCTTTTATAACAGCACGGGAATCAGATTTCAATGGACAGGAAATAATCACAAATCCTGCAAACTTGAGATCACATTCTAACTCATCTCTTGTGAGTTCACGTATCTGCTGTGGTGTCAAGCGTCCTAATTCCTTCCAACCCAGAGCCAGAACACGAGCACCTCGACGTGACATCTCCAGGTACACAGCATCATAGGTGGGTGGAATGTTTGAGAACTGGAACAAAGTCAGTTGTTGCCTGAACGCAAAGCAATAAGCAAAGTGATACATGAGTGTATATTATTGTGACATTCAATTCTATTGTTACAAGATTAATAACCAGGTGGTAAGTATTAAATGCTGAAGACATAAAGGAAGTACATACCACAGCAACATATCTGGTGTGCCTGTTTAATATAAACACAAGAGTTCATGCAGAGCACTTAACATATCCATATGGAGATAAAGTTTCAGAATCCAAGCAATAAGTTTACACTGTTATTACAGATCAAATTAAAAAATACAAAAATCATGAAAAACACTTGAATTGCCTTCTTTTGTAGACACCTTTCACAGGGGATAAGACAACTGTTTGGCTGGCAACTGTCAACTGACATGTTAAAGATGAAACATTCAGACAGACAGACACACATGACCTATTATGCATTCAGTCTACAATCTCTGTGCAAAGAATGTACAAAAACTGAATATACAAAATCTAAACCAGTTACACAGTTTCAGCTGACTGTAATAACCACCAGAAAACAAATTAACTTTTATCTGCCAGTGAATAATATGCTGAGAAAAAACTTACCATGGGCTTCAGTGTCTCTGGTGCACCTTTGACTGTGGTAATGTAAGTTGTATCAGTGCTACCTGGCAGTGTGTAGCCTGTAATTACAGACATTCTCTTCAAAGCAGAAGAGAAGTGATGTCGATGGAAAATTTTCATCCCGGGAGCTTTGCCTCTTTTTGGTATCACTGCATCACCTTTTGTAAGATTCCAGTCAACAGCTGTGAGAGTTGCTTTTTCCAAAGGATCACCCACAAGTCCATCATCTAATTGAGCCAGAGCATGGCAAGTTGCTAGGACTTGAATGCTCTCCAAAGATGTTTCCGACAGAGGCACCACTCCCTGTCGGACACTAATGTGAATCCAGACAGAAAATTGTATAATATAATCAATCAGCACCAAATATATCTTGCAAAACAGGCCTTCTCTGATTTATGTTAAAAACTGGATAATTACCAAATAAAATTCCAAATACTGACATGGATTCAATAAATGCAAAGGTGAAATTCATACTTTACTTAATAGAACACATTCTTATATACCATACTTGAATTGCAGTACTGATTGGTATTTATCACATCACCATAAATTAATGGACTTATGTGTGTTTAGACACACAGCTTATTTATACAGAAGTAACACAATGCATGTATTTGCTTGGTCACTCTTGACTTTCAAACATGTGCCTCTGTGACTGAAATGGCTGGCATTGTAGTTGAGCATTCCTTTTTTCAAATTATTACATTATCTCAGGTATCATAAATAATTCTTTTGAGCAGTTATTAGAAAATACTGAACATAATAATTGAATATCCAGAGTTTAAAACTTACTCAAGACCTGCAATTCCTTCCACAACAAGGTTGTCACTTGTAAGCGTTCCTGTTTTATCAAAACAACAGATTTCAACTTTGCCGGCAAACGGAATACGAAATGGTTCTGTGCAGAATACACCTGAAAGATACGCATTTTTCATATACAAAGTTTTGTGTACAAAAAAAAAAGAATACACCAAAGAAATGCCAAGTACCCTTAAAATTTATTAAACCACAGCAGTGTCTTAATCACATTTTGGTAACAGCGTTGCGAACAGACATTACAGACATAGGCTCAAATGTTGGTGCCAACCAAGAGAAGCGTGGGGGATGTGGAAGGCAAATATACACATAATTTTTTAATCTTATATATAAGTTCTTTCATACAATGCTATCCATTTCTGCCCTTGTTTTGCTCTGCATTTGGCCTTGCAATAATGGTCTATGACCACAACTAATTCCTTGCTTGGCATAACCAATCCATTAATAAAGTTACCACTATGCATAAGCAAGGCAGTAAATAACAACAGGAATTAGGATGGGGGACCTATCTAGTCTCAAATATACCACAAAAGCTGTTAAAATCATACAACTCACCAATTATCAATGTCAAATGTAAGATATCCTGGAATATGCTATAAACTATACACTGCATTATCATCTTGGTGATGTACTGGACACAAGCATATAGAAACACGAGACTGTGTAAATATGATCATATGTTTGTCCAAACATATATGATGAGTAATGAGATAAATTAATTATGTATATATTTTAAATTACTTCATGTACCTGGCTAAAAGCAGAAAAGCCAATGTTACCTAATTTTGATAATGACAGTAATGATGTGTTGACTGCTAGTGATAATTCTATGGGCAATTCTGGAGGCACAACAGATGTTAAAATCAGTGCACACTCTAGGAACAGCTTATACCTGTTCCTTGTTGGGTCTTCTGAGCCTGTAATTAATAATACAAGCATAATTTTAATATCATGTTCTTTTACAATAGTAATATCATTCAATATTTCTTTCAATAACAAAGAAAAATCCTACAAATCAGAACCCATGCAACAAAGTACAAAATTTGGTCTTACTAGAGTTCAGTGAAAACATGTGAACCACAATGTACATGTCAATGGTAGTCTTCTGGGTTGTGGCACCATGTAGGTGGTACCAATGTTTCAGAGGAATATACTGCCTCCATATTCAAGGCAGAAGTCAAGAAATATCCAAAAAAACAGTATTTTCAGTATCAGCAGTTACTATGAGAGATGAAACAAGTTTGTCTCCTCTTGCTGGTCGGCTCTGAAGATGCAGGCAGTGTGTTCCTTCTACAGTGCTATGAGAACCTAAAATCCCATGTACCCAACAATTTCCTTGTAATAATAAAGAACTTCAGTATGAACTTACCCCTGATCCATACATAACTTGCAGCAGCGATTGCAAAGATCAGAAGGAACAGAATGAATCCAAATGTTTCCAAATTATTCGCAGTAACACGTTTTACTCCAAACAGTATAGTCCGTAAAAGCTTTCCCTGTGAAGTGTTGAATCCAATACGTAGTACATAAGCAACACAACCATTATCCTGAGCTGAAACCAATAAAGAATTATTTAATTTCCTAAATGATTCCCATCAACTGGATAAGTCTAATTATCTTGTGTATGATATATCACTTCCTACATTCTTGTTGCAGAAATATGATGAACTGACAACACGTCCCAGGTAGCAGTAATTTCTGGAAGTGACAACTGAATATAAAATGGAACACCACAAAAAAAGCAAGTATTTTCAGTAGCAGTAATTAGTATGAAAGCTGGAAAAATGTTGTCCGTTGATTGTGTGTCTCATGGTTGTAGACATGGTTATGATAAAGAAGGTTTAAAAAAGTACAGTATAACAAAAGAATGATGAATATAGGGTGAACAAACCAACAACTATTAACACTATAATGGACACTATTGCCATACGCGTTTCGACCTCAAGAGGTCATCATCAGTGGCATCAGGGAAATTAATACATATAGTCAAACGGTTCGAGCAAATTTCATAATTAAAATAGAAGGTAATTGACAAGATGACTGCACTAGATGCTGTTATTCACAGGAGTAAAACTCGCACTTAGCTGTTGATTCCGTTGTACGGTGGCCGTTGCTGGTCTCGGCGAGCTGTACTTGCGTCGTCTGTACCTGTGAACTCCAGAACAGTCGGCGAGAGACTGTCAGTTGGAAATGCATGGGTATATATAAATTTGAAATCAGGGTGGCCAACTATTGAAAAAAATACTTTCTCCTGTTTAATGCTAGGTCAAATAATACGTTAGAATCTTTGGTGATTTCAAGCTTATTTATACCCTTGCATTTCCAACTGACAGTCTCTCGCCAACAGTTCTGGAGTTCACAGATACAGACGACGCAAGTACAGCTCGCCGAGACCAGAAACGGCCACCGTACAATGGAATCAACAGCTAAGTGCGAGTTTTACTCCTGTGAATAACAGCATCTAGTGCAGTCATCTTGTCAATTACCTTCTATTTTAATTATGAAATTTGCTCGAACCATTTGACTATATGTATTAATTTCCCTGATGCCACTGATGATGACCTCTTGAGGTCGAAACACGTATGGCAATAGTGTCCATTATAGTGTTAATAGTTGTTGGTTTGTTCATCCTATATTCTAATACACTACACGGTATGCAAAGTTTTAAAATAATGATGGATTCTTCCATTGTTTAGAGTACTAGTGATTAAAGAAACTTGGTGATTTATATTTTCTTAGCACTGGAGACTGTTACTGCCAGTCATGTGCCAATTTACATGAGGATCCAGTAGACCATTACATAATACGTGGAAGAATTTGACCTGCATGAGACAGATTAGTAATACCCCTTAATCCAGCAGATGATTTGCTAGGTGGAGTATGCTGAACAACTTTGGTGCCTCCAAAAAGAACATGCAGCTTTCCATCAGCTTCCAAGTCAAGAAGTGTACTTGGCTCAAGGTTCTCAATAGGTTCCTTCATTTGTGGCACTGATTCCCCTGAAATAAAATTTAATCAAGTAATAATTTCATTATTAAAAATAAAACTGCAAATTGCTTACTAATACGTAAGTCCATATATTTTTCATTTAAATCTGCCGAAGGGTGGGGGGAGAGAGAGAGAAAGAAGTTCTTTCCTGGTTTACAACAAAAGTGAAAAGACTATCTAGAAATATCCACATACGTAAACAAAATCGGAAGCTTAGAAAAGTAAATAATTTAATTACCAACATAGCGGAGAAATTAAAGAAAGAATCAACTGTAAATTTATTACTACTTGTACATCCTGTTTCTGTTAAATGTATGGTACATCTGCTTTAAAAACTACATGCATGTAACATGAATTTTCATATATAAAATTTTTAACTTAAACTCCTAACTGATTAGTTTAATAAACTTATCAGTATAAGAGATTATGCATTTCAAAATAGTGGGATAAGTGGAAACTGAAGAGAATGGCAGTGTGAATGGCAAAGGAAATGGACAGACAGACATGTGCATGTGTGCACGCACACACACACACACACAACAGCCCAACCCAGTCTTAAATCATAAAATGTAGAGTAGAATGTCAGCACTCTAATAACAGTATTAAAGGTGAGGCACTATTCTTTAATAGATTATACAATGCATACAGAATTATATAAATATGATCTTGCCTTCAACTTCTTTCCCTTCCACTTACCAGTTAACATGCTCTCATCAACAATGCATGGTCCACGGAGTAAGAGAAGGTCACAAGGGACAAAGTTGTCATGCTGTGATCGTGCAATAGACACTATGTCTCCTGGAACAAGTTGATCTGTAAATATAGGGCGCCATCGTCGATTCCGATAGACCTAATAAACAGTACATGTATATTAAAAAAGTGCTTCAGCAGCCTGGCAATAAGCTTGCATATAATCAAGCCAGTGGCATAGAGATAACAGAAGCAAAGTTTTACTTTATTCCTTTAGAACAAGGTAATAATGACTTTTCCACTGGTTATAAATACAGAAAGAGAGAGTGGGTCTTCAGCGGTGGCTCATGGCTTACTGTTCCAATAGCACATGTCTGGAGTGAAATTTAAAAGAGGGCATTCAATGATGGTTTAAGGTGTTGTTGCAGCTACTTACAGAAGTCCCAAGAAAAGTTACAAGTGTGAAATGAAGATTAACAGTACATTTCATGAAAATTACTAGATTTTGTTGCAAATTTATTCCTGGTTTCTTCAGATGCTGTGACATTTCCACTTAAATATTGTCATTCAATCTGCCATCAGTGATGTAGCAAAAAATGAAACCAACGTAATAAACATTTATATGATGGCAACAGAGTATTTAGTGCCTTATTTGTAGCTATTACATTTTCTTTTATTCAGTTTAAAATGTTCACCTAATCACTCTTTACAAGTTGAATCTCAAAGTAATCCCTTATTCAATCTCATAAAGAACTCATGGTTGGTATCCCTGCTTGGTCTCTAACTATGAATGACCCATCTGCATGGATTGTGCCCCTCAGCACCAACAAACTGCCTTCAGTCAAGGCCCTTATTCTTAACTGGTGGGTCAGTGTTTTTGGAAAATGACACCGTTTCTGCAATCAGGCCATACCTAACAGTGAAGTACACAGCCACTTCTGCATCATTAATATACGTGTGTGTGTGTGTAAATATCTGTTGTAGAAAATTCCTGTAATATAGAAATGTTATATGATACAATTTTGGTCTAATGGGCCAGGCACCACTGGTGATTTTGGCAGTTATATTAATTAAATAATGTGACCAGCTTTATAAAAATGATGCATGGCTATGCATGCCAAAGACAAAAGGCATTTTTATATTTTTCTCATACTATAATATAAAATGCTATGATTGTGAAAACAATATGCTCAAGATTTGTACTAAGTAATACACTTTAAGGAACCCACAGATCAAAAGAAGACAGCAATCTGAAGTATCTCTTTCTGTATATGAATGGATCAGCTAATTTTCTTAATATCTGAAATGTATGAGTATTTATAAGAAAGTTTGTGCAGTGTACTTCAAACATTTAATTTAAATTTATCAACCAAATTACATGTACAGCAAGTCTGTGAATGGCAATTTCACACACCTGTATCATATATGGTTTGTTGCCCATCTTTCGAATCTCTGCCATGTTGCGCAGCTGTTGCTGGACCAGCGTGCACTCAAAAAGGATAAGCATAACGAGTGTGAAGAGAGAGTAGTACCAGTATTTATCAAGGCACCACAGAGCAACACACAGCACTTGGAATACAAAGAATGGTGCTGTAGCTCGTTCTTTGAACAGCTCCATAAACTCCGGCACCACCATGTCAAGCCTACAAAAATTGGGACTGTCAGTGGATTCACATCTTCCTTCAGTCACTATTAAGTGATGGACTGCTTGATTAAAAAACAACTGACTGTCTACATGACTGGGATATGATACCCTGACATGGGTAGGAATTTATCTCCTTGCCAATATGTTGAAACTATCTCTGGCACCCATCCAGCCTCTTGAATTTTAATAAAAGACTGTAAACATCTGCATAATATGGTTGGACCTGCCAAAGTTACGGTTGCAATCATATCTTTAACCCTTTATACTTCACAGCTGAATGAAAGACAGTACAACATAAGAACTCTGTTAACAATGTGTCATACATCTAATTTTTATTATGACAGCAGTAAGGCAAAGTTAAACAACTGATTGTAAGAGAAGAGAACATACTGATTCCTGCCATATTTCATGTCTGCATTTGTGACGTCATGGTCCTCTTGATACCCCTTCCACTCCATGTACTCTCCAAAAGGGAGATCCACAGGGAACTGCAGACCGCGAAACTGGTTTTTATCTACATCCCAAACATACTTAGTCTTCTGGAATATAAACCATATGCTCACACTCTGGTTCACTTCATCCTGGAACATATAAGTGAACTTGCAGTAAAACAATTCAAGAAAGTGCACACAGTACATCATAAAGAATATGACTGAAAAGCTACATAAAATACACCTCAGCTGTCAACTTTCTAACTGTACTGAACTTATAGAAAATGACAATACTGTACATTTCACAAACTTTCTTACATCTGTCATACATGTTGACATGCTGTGTACTATGTTTGTTCTAAAATGATGGTCTTTGCGGTATTACTTGGGGTCATTCTCTCTATGCATGAGTAAAACTTAAAATCAACAAAATTACTGAAAACTTGTACAGATTAGAGTCCTATAGTTACCTATGTAACCAATTAATGGTTACAGAAATTTCACTGTCATCAATCATTTATTATTAATGATTACACTATTTGTGCTTAAAAATATACACTGCAAACTATAACATTCCAGTTTGTACTATTACTTCAGAATTATATTTACCTTGTAATGGTGAACTGAAACTAGTTCTGATGATCCATTATTGGCAGTTGGTACGACTTTAGCGAGTTTGGCCTTCAATGGATCTTTTGCCTGAAAAATAAAGAACATAAGAACTTCAATTTGAAATTCAGTTGATTTTTTATCTAAAAACTGAATGAAGATTTAAATCATGTAAGAATTAAATTTTAAACCCTCCTGATGTGAAGTGTCTGCACACACAAATCAGACAGAACATCAGATGTCAAGATCAAAACTTGCCAGTTACAGACGTTGTTTTGTGCGAAAGTTTGTGCATTTTTATCAGATTTCTAGTACATAAATCTTGGACACTATAAGCCCCAAACAAGGTGATGGTCCTTCCTATTTCCTACTTTAACAATTGCTTTCAAAAATGTGTTGAAGGTAACTATTTTACATCAATTCATATCACTTTTAATACATTTACTCGCTTTTGAGACATAATCAAAAAGAGCTTGGACAGTAAAATAACCAAACTTATTTTGTCCAACAGGTGGCATCAATCTTGAAGCAACGCAAGTTGGAACATAAGACTGCACAAAATGTAAGTATTATGTAATAATATCATTTGCATTCAGTTCATTTTGCAGTAATAATTAATGGTTTCTAAAAGCAGTGTGCTGTTACTTATTGATGAAAGGTTATACATTTTTAAATATAATAATTAAAATTATATTTTTAGTGAAATCAGCACAAATGCTGCAAATATTTACAAGAAAATGGAAGTTTAAGGAGACAAAATAATGTAGCATTTGGGTTAAGATATTTCAAGGCAGTAAGGAAGGCATTATAGGTGGCTATCCATACGGTGACCTGACAACCTCACAAATGAGTGTTTCCAGGAATGCGCTGGGATATCAGAATTGGACCACACCTACTAAAAACTACTGACAAATTTTGGTTATTCAAAACAATGAATAAATAAATAGGAAAAGTTTGACTAATACTGTATGTGGTGTTCCAAAGTTACGAGTTATACATACTGATAGAAATTTCTCATAACTATTACTTATTTAACCAGTGACAGAATATACAAAGCTTGCGCTCCTCTGATGGACGGTCTATAGGTTAAAAAAAGATTAACTATAATATTTTCCATTTCTTTTTCTAACAATTTTCTTTAATGAAACTGTCTTAAAAATGACATATCTTGGCATAACTGGTTCATTATGTCTAAGAAACTCTACTGAGTTACCTGTACCATGTTATTTACAGCATTATAAAAGGTAATTTCAGTCTTGTTTGAAGGTATGATGCAAATGTGTAGCCACATTTAAATATAAACCTGCAGTTGACATCATACACAAAGAAAAAATTAATTTCTTCATAAAGACTGATGAACTAAATTTTAACATATTACTAAATGTAAGTTAAATGCAGAGGCACACAACTCATACATACATGGCAAAACCCCAAAAATATCGTTTTGTACATATGAAATTGCAGTCGTAATTCTTTATAATGCATACAGAGGAGCATTTTTTCAATACTGCACCGTTCAATCCCACAAATCGTAAATTTTGAAATACTTGTAGCAAACATGCTGCAAAGGTTAAGCACGAACTCCAATTTAACCCTATATAATGGCCGTGAGATGTATTAATTTATGCAACATACAAACTTACACTTTTGCACGTTAAGAAACACTGCACGTGGACAGACCAGTGGCAGCAAAGGCAACTCAGAATTTGTAAAAGGCCAATCACCGCCACTCCGATAGGTCCTGCTTCGTAGTACTCTTCAGTTCCATATACAAAAAACCACCCGTATAACCAGCCTCCATAGAGTGTGAGAAATGGTAAAACATAACCATGAAATAGAAACTGACGAGGAATATGAAGGCTAACAGATTGAACTAAATCGTCGATACGTGTTGCCACCACCATGTTTATGGTCTCATGGTTGAGCGGGGGACGGAAGTTATATCCCACAGATAACAAACATATCCGTGCGGCTTACCAACCATAGAAATTAAAATAATCTTGTTGGTAGCGCCAAATAGCTGAAGTGAGACATACACAGATAACAAGAATAGTGCCATCTTGTAGGAAACAATATCAACCGCAAGAGGCCGTGCGAAGTGGCGACAACTGTTGGCTGGAAGGAAATTTTCGTGTATGTGTCATGTCATACGTGTTTTATGCAACAAAAGTCACGTGCGGCAGTTGTATTATGTGGATGAAAACTTTATCGGTTCCCTTTCTCCCCACCATCTTCAGAAAAATCCTCACCCTTCAGACAAACTGTAAAGCTTTTATAACGATGAAATTCCCACTCAAATATTGTGAATGTTCGAGAAAATAACTTTATGTGAAGTTTGTAGTAGTCCACAAAACTGTCTTCCTACGGTTATTTTACAGAGCCTGTAAATAACACGGTATTCTATGCTGTTTTACTTTTAAAATAGGAGCAGCATGACAACGGAGCGAAATATTTTTCTTCGCTATGGCTTTTGGCCTTTGAGATTTGCTTTCAAATCAAATTTTAATAGATTGCGATGCTGGTCTTATTTGTTGTAACGCTATGTTTACTTGTAGGTAAATACCAACTTTTGAAGAAACATGCTATCTCCATCTTCAGAGCTGAAGACGGAGGCAGTATGTTTCTCCGAAACGTCAGTTTATACCCACAAGTCCTCCAGGTGTTGACGCCCAAAGGACCAAAATGACATCTTCACCATGGAGAAAACTTTAGATCTCATTAAATATGCTTTCCCCTCTGCATGTAGTTGATATTATAATCACATAGAAATATTAAGTTGCCTTTTTATCAATAAATTCAGGTATTGAAGTCAGTACTCTTACGGAATTTTCAGCTTTCTTCGGTTTATGCCCGAATGCTGCTTTCAGAACGCCACCCACTCCATCCGAAGCTACTTAATATTGAATGTAGAAACGCCGTCGTCAAATAAAAATCAAAAATCCATAATCAGAGTGAGTGAATTTAGGAGTAGGAATGTACAGTGCGTTTGGTTGTGAGGTGGGAGGTACCTGTTAGTTGATACAACAAAGTACAATTTTATAACATCACCATCGGAGAGGGAGAACTGAATTTTTCAAGGGCCGCTTCGTGTATTATGTTATGTTGTGTTATGTCACGTCATGTTTCATGGATTGAGAAGTGGCAGGACAGTTTTATGCGCGTGACGTGGTATAAAATGAAGCCTCCTGAGGCCATAAGCTGTGTCAGTGTCTAATGTATTTATTTATAACATTTCGAAGACTGTTTCTGTCTCATCATCAGGGACCAAACTTGGGTTGGAATCAATAAAGCTAAGGTAACAAGCTACGTCTTGAATTTAATTATCATCGGACGATTCTATGGTGGGAGGCAGAAGAAAGTAAATAAATTAGAAATACACACAGAAAGAAACTAGAAAGAAATAAAGACTTTAATAAAGAAATAAATGGGTTTAGGTTATACAATGAAAGAAACGGAATAAACAATGAATAATAAGTGCAGAGAAAACAAATATAGGCTTACTAGAAAGAAGAAAGTGAATACATTGTACGCGCCGGTATAAAAAGCAGAAGTAACTAAATTAGGACAGAAGAATGAGTAAATGCAGAAACAAAGAAAATTACGAATGAAAAAAGAATTATCACAATATTAGATATTAAAAAGGAAACTTACTTGGGCTTTAAATGTCGCTGTTTATTTTGCCGCCCCCTTGTTTGTATAGCAACATGTTTCTCACTTAAAGGAGTTGAATATTTTCTGAGGCTCGATTGAAAATGAACGTGTTTTGTGCATGAAGTCCGCTTGCCGTCCTTCGTTTGTTCGCCGTTTTTTATCACATTAGTAAGTAGGCGGCAAGTCTTTCCTACCAGTTCTGAATCTGAGTCAGAAGATGGGGCGTTGAAACTTGAAAGGAAGCACTTAAGTCCCTAATGAAGGGACGAGCATCCCTGGTTAGGTCACTTATTTGCTTTTCTGCGAAACCTAAAATCTTCTCGTGCAAACATCCCCCCCCCCTCCCCCAATGTTTCATCCTCAGAGAAGTCGCCGCTTATTTACTTGCTGTTTGCAGCTGCTTTGAAATCTGACCGTGCGTACGTTTGCTCGTCAGTTGTGCTAATTATGAAGCTGTATTAATCTCTACTTGGACTCATTTAATTGCCTGCAATCACTGAATAACTCGCTCTCGTGTTTCTCTGCGCGCGCACGCACACACACGCTGTTTTCTACCTGGTTTGCTGAATCGAGTGAGTGCATTCAGTGAACAAATTATTATATGGCCTAGGCCAACTTCACACTTGATAACGAACACGTGGAATATACTTTGTTTATTTAACGAAGCTGTTAATAGCTCAGACTACATAGCGTCCAAGGTCTGAGAAATCTCACAGAAACGTGTCAGAATAGCCTGCCTGCGAGCCGATATTTAGACGAGACCTCGAAAAGCGAACGAAGTGACGTGCTTGATGACTCGAAATTCCTGTACAGCTGCTTTATGACCGACTGGAATTTGGAGATGTCGGTAGAGTTTCTTTCGGAGGAAGAAACCTCACTTAACATAAAGATATGTCATAACGGCGTTTTAGAATAGACAGAGACTGTCTTTGCATCCCTCTCAACAGACACCATAACAATTCTCACACGCGCCTATAGGCCTGATTTTCGATTCTAAAGAACATCTTGCATTAATATGACGTCGTTAAATTATAAATAATTTAATGGAAGGACAAAGAAGATTTCGTTACTTTATTTAGTATCAACTTATCACTGCCAACCATGTTCAGCAAATGTAGTTTCTAATCATTGTTCGAAAATCGTAGGTCTATCGTATGAGTGGCCTGTTACAAGATATGCTGGCTGCCTTGCCGTAAGATCGGACTAATTTCTTTTCATTGGTACCAAAAAACCAAAATATCTTGCACTTGTAATTGTTTGTTTCAATATCCATTTCTGGAAGGTTTCAGTATCTGGTGGGCTGACATTTTATTTTTATTTGTCTGCGGTTGCAGAAATCGCATGAACTGATTTTTTGGCGTACTTGGACAATCATGAAGAATAAGTTCATAGAATACATAGATTTTACACTTAAAATTATTTGTTGCCAGGACTTTTTCCATCGTCTGTTTTTAAAAATCACGACGTTTCGAATTTTAGCTTTGTCATTAATTAATTAATTATTTAAAATCAATCTTTGTTGTCAAAGATGACGTCAAAATCAGTTCAGTTCAAGTTTCATCCTCTACTCGATGATACTTTACTTTTCCCACCACGGGAAATACCAGAATGCCTATGAAATGTTTTCTTAAACAAAAAGGAAACGTGGAAAGGGTTAAATTAGGTAACCATCCAGAAGAAATGGGCTGCAACTTCACAAAAGAAAACTTTCCTGCACTTGCCCCTTACCTGCAAAGCACCTAAATATATAATAAATCGTGGACTCGTTCTCGTCGGCCATATTTCCCTCGTCGGTCCGATGTGCTTCCACTTAATTGTTTACATTCCATTACGTCGTGTCTCTCCACACAGTATTTGCATTGTCGCGCGCGGATTCTATGCAAACAATTGCGTATCTATGTACGCCTGACCGGTATTTACTGAGCCCACGGGCCCAATTAGACATAGAAGACGAATATGTAAGAGTATATGTCTGTGTATGTGTATGTGTGTGTGTGTGTGTGCGGGAAATGTTCTCGTTTCTCAATACCGCCCATTTTGATTGTAGACCTATCTCTCTGCTTGGATTCGTCTGCCTGCGATGTACAATCTGACCATCAAGTCCTGTTGCTTGTTAAAGATGAACGAACTTTTCTGCTTAATTGTACTTGCTGATCGAGTTTTAGTAGTGACCACGTGTTCTTCTGTGTGTCTGAGCAAAATAGAATGTTCTGGTTAGAGCCGCGTTCCCACGACGCTTGCTAATGCTGTACGGTATCGGCTGGTGGACAGAATTTCACAAAAAGCCATGACCACTTATTTTACCAATTCATATCGCTCCTCGACATTAACCTATGGAGTTAAAAAAGCATCGTCAACGGCTTCACTTTGCAAGACCTTTATCTAGCTATCGAGAACTGTTTTGATAATCGGAAAATTCCCCACTTTAGGCCTAGGTATATATTGAATTCCAAGGTTCAGTACCTTATTCACAAAAACCAACCACTTGACCCTATTATGAGTCGGTTTAATTCAGTCTACACCCTCCAATTCTATTTCAAGATCTAGGTCTTATCTTGGCATTAATTCATTCTTCCACTTATATCTGGGCCTCCCAAATGAGCTGTTGCCCTAAAATTTTCCGATACAAGTTTGTAAGCTTTTCTAATTTCCGTAAAGTATGCTACATGTCAGATCAATCTCATGTTTCTTGAGTATTTCTTCCGGTATTTATTTATCATAGATCAATTTTATTATCTCTGCCCATCTACGTCTAAATCTCTCAAGCTGCGTCTTTCTTTTTAAAAGCGGGAAGCAACTAACACAAGGAAACTAGGCTTCAAATCAGTCTACTTACGTCATCACCTTTTTTTCAGATACGCAAGAGAGGTAGTTGATATGTTGAAGGTTGTTATATCGAAAATCGTTATTGGCACTCAAAAGCTGAGCACCCGTCAATACGTTCGGACAGTTTGCAAACAACGACACAGTCCCCACAAAAGCAGTAGTAGTACCTAAACCTTTTAAGCGATTTGCTGCTCTTTATTTATTTATGTATGGCCAACCCTTTCTAAAAGGGGAGCGCATGAATATGTGGAGTTGTGTTACGCTGGGGAGAATCGATATAATCCGTAAGAAATTCTTTCGAGACATCAAAAGTAGATGACTGGTCCTTGAATTACATTTGACTGTGTGTGTTGTGTTGTGTTGTGTTCCGTTCCCGGGTGAAAGGTTTGAATGCAATGCGTATAGAAATTATTCTTTGCATTGTGATGACTACGTAAATGCTATGAACTGGCTCGTGAAAATTGCA